CTCAACAGCAACCCAAGTATTCAGATATGGGGAGGAGAATGTATGACGGTATCTGCATCTGCATAGATTTAGATAATAATGGCTCTGCTTGGGTTTGGCCTGAACGCGTTAGAATGCAGCGGCTTCACTTCGTCACAACATGCTCAAAAGGTGCCGCGGCGTGCAAATGTTCTTCCATAATGAAATAAAGAGCCGCGTGAAATGTGTGACGACAGCCCCGATGCAAAACGGGAAACAACAAGCCCCCATAGCCCCTCACAAACTTGTGGACAGGAGTCAAACAGAAGGCTGGTGCAATGAGTTATGAAAGAGATCACTTCAAAATGTCTCATGGCGGCAGCGCGATGGAGCCCAGTCCCACCACTTAGCTTAGCACGGCTAACGCTCGGTCCTCTTTAGTCCTCAGGGCCACAACAGCCCAAAAAAACAAAAAGGTGGATGGAAAAAAAAAGAGGAGAAAGCACATTCTAACAAAGCTGTTAGTTACCAATATTTGTATAAAATTCCCCCGAACCAGAGGAGCACAATTACTTTCACATGTTGTAACGGCACTACGATTAATCTACAGCATGCGACATTTGAGGTGTGGTACACTTTTTTTTTTAACCTTTTTAAAAAAATATTTTTCCACACGTGTTCATATTTCACAGCAATTTGAAATGACGTCTGCGTGATTGCACATCGAGCATGCTTTTACCAAAAGGGACCGAAACACAACGTCCAATGTCACGTCGGATGGTGCGTGCATTCACCGGGCCGATTTATTACCATACTGACTCCGAGTTTGTGCATCGAGCTCCTGATTAAAAGGTTATTTGAGTGGAATACTCTAAAGAAAATCACCAAGTACTGTGTGTTTTGAAACGTCCCATCGTGCTGCCGTGTCTTTTTTCGTGTGGCCACTAGGTGGCACTGCAGTGAATCGCATCGTACACAGTGACACACACACACACTATGTCGCCTCACGAGGCACAACGGACAGATCTGATTGGCCAGGAAATGTGTGTGTGTGTGTGTGATTCTCTCATCCGAGCGAACCGCCTTGGTGGATGGAAACGAAAAAAAAAAAAAACCACGCTCGCGCAAGTTAAATGTATGTCATAGCACCTTTGGCGTTTGCTTCCAAAAAGACCTCGACGTAGGAGGAGGGCACGTATCCCTCCTCGTCCTCGTTCCGCCGCACCCGCGTCCAGCCGTCTCCTTTGTCCTCCTCGATGACGTACAGCAGCTCGCCCTCCGCCACGGCGAATGGTGCCCTCGTTGTGACCTGAGGGAGGAGGGGAACCGGGTGAGAGGCCGCCCCGCGCGAGACGGACGACCGAGGAGTCGCTAGTGCTCGCTCTCAAAGAGTCTTACACACTAAATCCATTTGAGTGCAACAAGTTGGGATGGTGATTGATTGATGATTATGTATCTTCATCCTTCCTCCTCCTACACACATCTCGTACTCCTCATTCCAAAGGGCCCGTCTCCCTGTGTTAATCGTTACCTTCGAAGGGGTACAGGGCTTTGCAGGTGCCGATGGTGGGCAGCGTCTCCTCGTCGTCGAACTCGTCGTCGAACTCCGGCGTGCTGGAGGTGGGCAGCGCGGGGTTGCCGCTGGCTTTGACCTGGCTCTCCGTGTTCTGCTCCTCTGTGTAGCTGCCGTCCGGGCTGCTCGAGGGCCAACAACACACAGCACGAGCACGGTAAACACGCTGTGGAAACACGCGCGGCGCCTCGCCCCCAGCGGAGAGTCGGGGTTTTATGACGTTTCGCGCTGGCCGTGCGTCCGTGGGTGCCATACCTCTCTCGGTCCTGCGCGCAGTTGTTGCTCGCTGGCGCGTTGTTGCTCGCTGGCGCGTTGTTCTGGGTCTCAAAGAGTCCGCTTCTCCGGTTGGTGTCGCTCTTGGACGGCATCCTCTCCTCCACCTCCGCCAGCCAGCCCTGAAAAAACGCGCACAGACGCCGCAAGCGTCACACACCCGCTTCTCATGACCAAGTATTCACCAGGTTAAGCGGGACCCCCCCCCCCCCCGCACGGCGCTGCATCGCGACCTCTCCTTATACGGCCCGGGCGGCAGGCTCCTCTGGAAGGCCTCGTTATTTACGGACCAGGGGAGGGAGCAGCGCACAAACCTCGAATTTCTGCGCCTCGAACTGGAGCTTCTCGATGCTCTGGGCTATTTCATAGAGCCGGGGGTCCACGCTGGTGGGGTCCCCCATTTGAGGGTTCTTCACGTACACGTCTTTCATCTTAGTTAGCGCGTCCCTGTGGGAGAGCGAATGACTGAAGTCAGAACGAGCACAGATACGCCTCGTCTTGTGAGGGGGGGGAGGGCGAGCTCTTACATACCTCTGGTCCATGTCTTTTTGAATGTCCTTAGTTCAGTTCATCCAGCTTCCCCTGCAGCTTCTTCCTCCTCTGTTCTGGTGGCAGGTGGCTGAAGTCCTCCGGTCCAGAGCCCTGAGAGGAGGAGGAGGAGGAGGAGGAGGAGGAGGGAGGTGGAGAAGCAGAGAAAATGGGGGGAGGAACGGGAAAGAGGCAGAAAAGAAACCACAAGGTGAACTTTCATTCATGGATCCCTTCTAGTTCCAGTAGGTGCAGCATCTCCCTTTTACCGTGACCCCGGATGGAGCTCTCCTTGGTTCTCCTGAAGGAGATACTGCAGCTGTAGCACTCCCCCTCCCCCCCCTCCCGAGAGTCGGGACGTTTCTTTCCTGCGTGAGGCCTTTCCCCCACTCGGCCGCCGCACCGACTCAGGCGCCGCTTGCAGCCGCGGGGGGAAAACGTGCTAAAGCATCGGCTGCACCCTCGCAGCGTCCTTCGGAGGGAGCTGGCTAACGGGCCTCCTCTCTGCCCTTAAAATGGAGGGTGTGTGGGTGAGTAATGGGTGAGGATCTCACTCAGCTCATGACTCATTCCCCCCCCCCCCCCCCCCCCCACCCGGCTCTCTGTTGAGATGAATTATAGGTTCGTCCTGCTAAGGCTTACTGAACAAATAGCGCTAGCCGGTCTGCAATCACATCAATACTGTTTGCGTAAAGCCAAATTCTGACTCATGCTCATGCTAAATGTGATAAATGATTGTTCTAAACCCCCTGTCAGTTAATAACCCTGTAACCCAAATAATAATAGTAATCAGCTGAAGTAGTATCTATTCGGCTGATGTTGGGCTCTTTGGGGCTCCTCTGCATCTGGAACTGCTGGAACTACAGACTTCACCTGCACCCGAGCCGGGGCCTCGCACACAAGCATGTCGGTCGCCGTGGAAACCTTACCCCCTTTCGGCTCTTCTTCACGAGCCAAACAATCGCCGAGGCATGCAACATTACAAAGGTCGCGTCGAGCACCATGCAGAGACGTGCTGCTTCCCGGGTGTTAGAGTTCACATTTATCTACGGACCTCGAGACAGATCCAAACATCTGGCTCACCAGACTAAAACTACCCGCAGGCAGAAAGGGGTCGGCTTGTGTTATGATGAACGTAGGATGGGCGGGGAGTCACTATTTGATTGTTCAGTAAGGAATCAGGTGTACGTCAAGCAGAGCATGTTGGAATCACATAAACTCGTGAAAGGGCTGAATTTCTATTACAATGTAAACGTAAAGTAGGGGATTTTAGAAAATAGGTTAATCATGTGCTTCCGTGCAGTCTTTATACTGTTAGCTTAGCTTAGCATAAAGGCTGCAAGCGAGGGGAAACGGCTAGCCGCGGCTTGCTTCTCCCTCACGATTTACTCATTGGACATTTATTCAAAACGGTGCTTTCTATCCTCGCAGTGATCCAGGATCGCTGTTTCAATGCTACGCTGATGACACGCCGCCATTTAAGACTCGGATGTAAATCCGCCCTGATTCCAAACCGCTAAAGTGAGTCCCGTCCTCGGCATGACAACAATGCTAGGTGGATATTCTGTGGAAGTCTACGGTACGTTAGCTTTTAAAGAACACCATGCCGCGAAACAGAAATGACATCGGCATGCAACTACCACATGAGATCAGGTTAGTTCGGGTTTACGGAGACAACGAGGACTACCAGAGACGGACGGGTCAAACATCGAGTAAATCTGATCACCTCCATGAGATTCCGGACTTGGGAATTGAGTGTGATCTGCACCACAGAGACGACAAGACAAGTTTTGGGAGAGACACGACGAGGACACAAGCACAACACAAACACACACAGAGGACAAAATGACAACGGCGTGAGTGTGAGGATCCGCCGTTGTGTCACAGCGAGGATTACAAAATAATAAAAAGAACCTTGATTAACCGGTATCCCAAAAAGGGGCGTTATCGGGGGAGTGTGTTACTGGGGAGGACGTGACATGCGATGTGTCATGCCGCTACGATCGTGAGGTTATATACGGTCATGCTTACCAGCTTGAGCGATAGCTTCATGGGGGGGAGGGGTGGGGAGAGAAATGGCGAGGAGCCGGGAGAGAGAAACAGACAACAGTCAACATCACAGGAGGAACCTCACGGCCATTTGTTTAACTTTGCTTTCCATGAGAATTGTCTGCTATGGTCATAGGTTTGTCAAACTTCACCATGTCAGAATAAGAGGGAATGGCGCTTTGTGTGACTTATGTCCTAGTTGTGTCCCCCCCCAACCACCCAATCCCCCCCCCCCCCCCCGCTCTTTTCTAAAGTGATGAAGTTTAACATTTCTCCTAAAATGACTCAATGAAAAAGGAGCTATAAGTCGGCGGAAAAAAGGGCCGACCCATTGCTCAAGCGTGAAGAAAACAATGGCAGGGAAACCAAATTGAAGGAAAGACAGATGAAGGTAAATGTAGAGAGAGACGTGGAGGGACGGGGACAGGGACGGATGGACGCTTCACTTCCTGACGTGTCTCTCTCTCTCTCTCTCTCTGCTGCCGGGGTGCAGCAGCGAGGAAGTGACAGCAGGGGGCGTCAAAAAAGCACGACCCCGCCAAGCACGGCCTACACGTCTGACACGGAGGCAGATAACGAACACGGCAGAACGTCAAGAGACACGCACACGCGTGGGCGCATGAGCCCCGGCCGCGCGAACAGAGCCGCTGACGGGGTTAAAAAGAAACAACGACAATCAACTGTCGCAAAAAAAAAAACAGCGCAATCGGAAGCCCTCGCTGAGTCATCGGGTTAGGTTTTGAATACAAAGAGGTGGTGGTGGTGGTGGTGGAAGGAGGTGGGGTGATGTGTGAGGTAGGGGGCTGGTAACAGCAGGAGCAGATGACTTGGAAATCTTGTTAGAGGCTCAGGAGGAGCGGCCTGTTACCGTGCTCGCCATGAGCGCCTTGCGATCCTCCATTTTTCGCCTCACAGACGCTGTCGTATTATTGTATTTCCTACGCGTGAAAGTGACAAACGCAAAGAGTATAAACTATCCTCCTGCCCCGAATGAAGACTTTACAACATAGAATGGGTCATAAATTACACCGTATTAGAATCGAGTATTGTTCTGTTGAATTGTGCATTTTTAATAAGACGTTATTTTTTCACATATTTTTCGAAGGACATAAAATAAAAGGATTTGAAAAAATAAACTAAATGAGAGTCAACAACGGGGAGAATCAGGAGGCGCTCCGTGTGACGCATCATGTGACCACCTGAGCGCCTGTTGCATGGCACGCGTGTTTTACTCTCCACAGATAAACTGGCCCCTTGCAGCTCCTTCTTAAGTTGTGACACACAGAGACAAACAGGAATATCATGGTCCCCACAGACGGACAACATCGCCGCAGGATGGCACGCCGACCACACGGAAAAGCGCTGGAGGGGTGAATTCTGGGTACCGCGGAGGCAAAGTGTGACCAGCACCCCGGCTTCAGGTCGGTCCCTCCGCAACCCTCAGGTGCTCGTGACACTTTGTGAATTGACCCCCCTTTGCGGAGGCTCTGTGGGAGGGACAGCGAGCGGCGAGGGAACCCCCAAAGCGGAGAACATGTGATGTGCGATGAGGTCGTCATCTTCTCCGATTCAACACGGGCCAGAGTCACCCTGATGCACACGCACACGGACACACACACACACACACACACATCGCTGGTGCTCACCGACCCCAACCACACACTTACAACATATTGCCTGGCTTCGAACGCATATGTGGGTCGACCCAGAGTCCTCTTCATGAGCTCTTTGTGGCGAACGAGCGAGCGCGGGGATTGCTGCTGCGGGGGGGTCGGGTAGGGGGAGGTCGGGAGGAGGGGGAGGGGGGTTCGTCGGAGAGAACACAGCTTCGTTATAAGAGCTCACAAAGAAAAGTGACTTTTTAACACACGTATGTGCCAGAGAAGCAGCAGCGGCGCTTATTTGACGACTAAGGATTTAGCTTTTTTGGTCACCTGAGACAAATGCTGAGTTTGTTCCTAAAAGAAAAGCCATTGGAAAATTGTGCTCTATATCAGAACATGTATATACATGAAAAGCACACACGGGCTACTGCGATGAGACGTGTTGTGATGAGATGAGGCTTTGATTCTGTGGAACATTATGATGTTGAGCTCCAACCTCAATCTTTTGGATCTCTGCGTAGAAGCGAACACAATGCATCTGATTTACGTTTTTTTTTTTCAGCGCTCTCCTTGACGGCCGTTTCTGCACTTCCGCTTTCAGACAACGTGCACTTCCTGATAGGCCGAGAAAAAACACACACTTCCCTTTTTTCTTTTTTTCTTTTTTTTTGCCGACCTTCAATCGTTTCCTCTGCGATACACTTCACTACGCCGCATTGTTCTTTTTGCCTTTTCAGACGCCGAGTTGACGTGGAGTCCTACAACACAAAATAGATGTGGAATAGAATAGAATTTAGAGTACCAAAAGTCTATTTGCGGGGCCCGGAAGGAACGCGCGAGTTGCCGCCCAGTTCCCGAGGTCGAGGGAGGTGCTGCAAGGGGGGTAAGTGGGTCACGGCGAGCCGCCACGATCCCGTAGCAACGCAGACTGGACTGAGACGGCCAGCGGCGCTGACACCCAGCGGGACCCGCCAGGTGCCCATGGCTGCCGATGGAGCCGCCCTTCCGGGGCTGAAGCCTCCTAAAGTTACTCCGCCGGGCGGGCCGGCTGACTCAGTGAGCCGCGCTGCCGCGCCCACGACCACGGCCGCTTTGGCCTCGTCTGTTCCTGTTTTTGTATCGTGTGCAAAAAGCAATGCGCCTGCAGGGAGGTGAGCGGGGAGCCACGGCTGTCTCCATGCTGATGCCAAGGCTGCTCAGGCATCTCGCTCGTTTCCGTCAAAGAACAGGGAGGAGGGGGGGCGGGGGGGTGTTGTCATTTTGTGCACAGAGTCAATATGAAGAGAGGGAGGAGATGGAGAGAACGCTGGTAACACGGGATGGTGGTTCTGCGCTACGGAAGCATGCAGGAGAAGCACGTGGACGCCGTGTGAGTGAAGCTGCTGCTGCTGCTGCTGCTGCTCATAGATGTTTCCACAACGTTGCCCCCCGCTGCTCACATACGTGCAGGTACATGAGCAGAGCGAGGTAACCTGCTCTATGATGACACCACGCAGGCGTTTGCATTGCTTCGCCCATACAGCGTTCAGTAGCAGGACACACACGCACGCGCACATGCAACAGGCAACACTTACCCCTCGCCTCAGGCTCCGGAGGCAGTGCATTTTGGGTTTGGAGGTCATGAAGTCGTTGAGGCGGTGGGAGAGGGGCTCCTTGTGCTGCTTGGGAGACTGGGGGTCGTTGGGAACAGCAGAGGGTGAGGGCGGGGATGAGGACGGGGGGGCAGGTGGGGGCTGGCGGGGGGATGTTAACAGGGACATAAGCTACCAGTGAGAGAGGGAGCAGTGACGGAGAGGAGGAGGAGGAAAAACATGGAGGAGAAGAAGAACGGGGGAAAGAATCCAACGGAAAACAAGACAGAGGAGGAAAAAAGGAGGAGGGAGCACAAAACGAAATAAATAAGCCTCCTACAGATATTAAAACATAAACACACAACAGAACCCAAACAGAAATTAAAAGACAACCAAAGGCGCGTCAGACCTAGTGAATAAATAGTTATGCAGAATGTAAAACGTATAAAACATAAACAGTACGTAACGAGAAAAAAAAACAGTTAAAAAGAAGAAAGGAACCAGAGTGAGTCGGAAGCGCAAAATGAGTCGAAGCAAGCGGCGGCAACACAGCAGCGGGTTCCAGTCAAAGCGCATGCAGGCCTCCAGTTCTCTGTCCGACCTCATCACATGCCAGCCAGGACGACACAGAGTCCCCCCCAGAGTCCCCCCCAGAGTCCCCCCCAGAGTCCCCCCCAGAATCCCCCCGGAATCCCCCCAAATCCCAGAGCGTATCAGCAGCTGCATTGGATGTCACCATTAGAGAAATGCAGCTGCTCATCTCCGCCCCCCGAAACATCTGACTGCGTAATTCATCAAGTGTCAGAATGCAGCAGAGGTGAGTCAGAACCCCCCCCCCCCCCATCAGATCCCTAAACAAACCTGGTGTACTGAAAGACAATAATGGTGCTTTTGTGCTGAAACGTCCGTGCGGTGCTCCGTTTGCATACGTGTGTCTGTTGTGTGTTTTTGTGTGTGTGTGTGTGTGTGTGTGTGTGTGTAAAGAGGAAGTGCGTCTCTCTGTGGCGCTCTGTTCTCCCCAAAACAACGAGCGTCCCGAGCACAGAGGAGCACCATGCTCGCTACAGGGTGGGGTTTGTCATCTAGCGCCGCTTCCAGCCCCCCCCCCCACACACACACACAGTTACACAGGGCTCTGATTCGGTACCGACGGGGGCCACCGGGCCCGTTTGCGGTTGCGAGATCAGCGTCGCTGTCGGGGAGCAGGAACCTGCTGAAGGAGGCTACTCGGGACGTAACCAGGGAAACGGTTATTTTTCAGGTGGAGTTAATATCTGCGGCTCGGGGGCTCGGGGTGGACCACAGGGTGCATTAGTCGTGTTACGGAAGTTACGTTTCAGTGAGGGCGGTTGCCGGGGGAGGGAGGGTCCGGGGGGGGGAAACGGGTGGCAAATGATAACAACAGAAATACACAACACCACAAATGTGACACTGAACACGTATGTTGTCTCGAAATAAAAATCTAACACAATCTTTGCGCCCATCCCGCCCCTCCCGCCCTGCACAAATGAGGAGCGTCTCAGAAGCCGGCAGGTGTGTGCGGCCCTGCTGTGTGCGTTCGTGTGTTACCTTGTTCTTGTTCTTGAAGGGCCACAGCTTGACCTTGCTCTTGCCCACCGGCTTGTCCTTGGCCTCCCTGGAGCTGGTCAGGCTGGTGTTGGACACCGTCCGCTTCATGGCCTGGCCGTAGTCCTCGAACTCAACGTCGCCCGGCGGCTCGAACCCGGACTTGAAGGACTCCACCACCTGCTTGGAGTCCTGGAGTGGGGTGGGGGGGGGCAATCAGTGAAGAGTCTTTCTCGTCTATATAGATATTAACGCGAGAATCGTTAAATGCAAAGCAGTGACTGAGAAAAGGAGGGGGGATGTCTGTTTGTGTAGATTGTTCCGCTAATCAGCAGGTCTGGAGATAAGAGGCGACACAGCAGGGGGGCTCCTGCCCCCCTCTGTTTACACTAGCCTGTTTTTAGCAGTCATGCACACAGGGAGAGACTGTTGTTATCCAGTTTGTGGGCCGCAGGAGAAAGAGGACGAGCCACGACGAAAGACGGTCAAGGGGACACGATGAGGCCCGACAGGAAGAAGGGCATTAATCAAGTGCAGTGCTCATCGGGGGGCGGGGGGGGGGGGGGGGGGGGGGGGGTTTGGATCACGGGTCAAAGATCGTGCTCTTACGTACAGGAGAAAGAGAGACAAAGCGATATGCGTTATTTACAGTCCGGAGTCATCTCCGGACGCACACACACACACACACACACACACACACACACACACACACACACACGCTATTCTGGGGAGAGAGACTGTTTTTTGTCACAGGGCAGCCAGTTAACACGTGACATCTGGATAGATGAGGACGCAGCCGAACGCTGCCTTCCATATCCAAAAAAGAATGGGCTCCGGATCGCGGGCCAACATCTGCTCGGGAGCTCTGCAGCAGTGCATGAAAGTAAAAAGTCTCTCGTGAGCCCGGCGGGAGAAGGTGTGCACTATGTGAGCCGCAGCGATTCAACCTCCTCCTCTTTCTGGATCGGCAACAGGTGTGGAAGAAAAAGCAGTGATTTCCATATTCACAGTACAGACGAAGCGGAGTGAAATCAAACTCCCTATAAACCATCGCTTTGAATTGTATGGGCCGCGCCCCCCACTGATGAAGGGTACTTTTATCTTCAGAAGGCCCCCCCAAGAGCGGCAACACTCGCCGCTTGAAAGACAGCTTAATGCGAGTTGTGACTGACGCATGGGTGAGTAATACGCCCCATATGGCGGTGTGCATGTGCATGTGTGTGTGTGTGTGTGTGTGCACTCACAGTCTTGGAATCGATGGACTCGGCGGCCTTCGTCATGCCGTCTAAACATTTCCCCACGATGGGCAACACTTGTCGGTCCACTTCCGCAAACGTCTTCATGCACACTCCTATCCTATCAATTCTTTTCTCCTCCATGTCTTGAAGTTTCTATGGAAAGAAATAAAATAAAAATAGGTAAGAAAATGCGGACGTATCCACACCTAAATACAAGGCTTCTGTTGTAGAAAAAGTGGAATGGATGGTGATAGTGAAGGGGCCGGGCCATGAAAATAATACATTCATCTTCCATTCGCTTTACGTATTAACTAAAAACAGAAGGATTTCAAACTGCTAACACGGTGATTCAAAGCTCACGAGCTGTAGAGAGAAAATAACTCGTAATGGCGGCTGGTTCTCCTTAGTGTTTCAGTGGATGTATATTTAGCAGTGGACCCGGAGGGGAGTGTGGCTGCTGGGCTGCAAACAGCATTGAATTTCCCAGCTTGTTAATGATTGCACATGAATGCACCATTCTGCCTTCAATCCGTCCGCACTCTTGGCTGCATTTTAACACTCTTTGTGAAACGTCTTTGTCTGTATTCTATGGGTCCTATTTGTGTAGCGGCGAATTACTCGGGGGTCACGGTGCCGTCACATTTACCTGGAATATGTTGGGGATGATGGTGAAGTAGTGCTCACTCTGGTCCTGGTTGAACTTCTGCAGGTAGGAGGAGTAATCGCTCTTACTGTCTGCAGCCATCTGCTGCCTGGACTGAGCATGTTGTCGCGCCTGAAGGAGATAAACAACAACAAAACGAAGCAGAGCGCAGGTCAGAGAGAGCCGCTCCGCTCGGTGAACCTCGGGGTCCCCTGATTGCCCGCGGACGCACATGTATGGATCGCACACGCGCGCAGCCAGAGCGTTGAAACCCGACACGAGTCGACACATTTGTGCAGACCAGAGTTCATGCACGCACGGGTACGCACATAAACAGAAAGCGCGTGGACACACGGTCACGGGTGCACGATTCCCAGTTGGGCAGCAGCAACATCCGTTGGCATTAGCCCATACAGTATGTAGACCAAAACAAACATGTAGAAACAGGACGGGGGGGCGGGGGGGACGAGGGGTGGGGATTTGTCTCCCCCACCCGCGATAATGTTGATTATTTTAAGCTTGTTGGGTCTCAGGGAGGCAGTGAGAAACGCAGCAGGGGCGGCCTATTACAGGTCCAAGGCGAGCAGATGGAGATGAGATTATCTCAGCTAGGCCGAGTATTTTGTGTGCGTGTAGGTGTGTGTGTGTAGTATGTGTGTATGTGTAGTGTGTTATCCTGTGGTCAAGTACCTCGAATCTAGTTTCCTCTTTTTCATCCCAGGCCGGTCAGCACATACACCAGCGGGTTCATTGGTGTCACCTATAACACAGAGTCCTCTTATGAACCCACTATTGCAGGAGTTCAACTGAATGCAGATGCGGGGGACGGGGGGACGGGGGACATATAACGGTGCAGGGGCAGTAGAGGGAACAAAACCCTGATCTTTCGCAGTCTCGAGGGAAACATTCGGAGGACTTTGTCCGGCTTTCACCCCTGCGCCAATCTTTCCGCGCTCCTACGCCTACGGGTGAGGATTAATAAGACATATAAGAAGAAAGAAGGAGGACATGAGAGCGTAGACACTCGTCAGACACAAAGGGCACTTTATTTCCGGCGCAGGAGCTGTGACATTTGATGCCTCGGGTGGAAAAAGACGGTCACAGGCTTCAAGAAAAGGAGCGTGAAACGTAGAGAAAAGCTAAAGAGCACATGTGGAGGCCCGGCTGTTTAAAAATCTACATGCATTCAGGAGTGTGTGTCTGTGTGTGTGTGTGTTTGCTATGCTGCAGCTTGTGCATGCAAAGTGGCGCACAGCGCGTTGAGAAAAGATGAGGACAAACATCATCGCCATGGCAACATGGCTGAAAATCGAAACTTGCAGCAACATTACATCCTGTGGCCATGCTCTGGAAAGTTTTTTTTTTTTTTTTTTTCCTGTTACTCACACCTCTGTATAGATATGAGAGCACCTCTGCAGTGTCTATATGAATGTTGAATGGTGTCTCTATGCAGATCGGGAGGAAAGTTACATCCAGCATGTTTGGTTTCGCTTACATCACACACATGTAAAGTGTTTCGGCAGAGGACAGCGAGACAAGCCGGTGTACAGGGGACAGATCACAGCCAGACAGGACAGGGCGTGTCGTTGTGGACCCGGCGAGGTCTGTGTGTGTGTGTGTGTGTGTGTGTGTGTGTGTGTGTGTGACGGGGGGGGGTCGGGACAGTGTGTGTTCCCACAGATATTACAGGCTGTCTGCACGCCGGACCTACCTTGTGGGAACTTCGCTTCAAGGCATGGCATAAAATAGATGTACAAAACACACACAAACAACAACAACAACAAAAAAGGATTGTTAGCCGTTTACAGCTAAACAAGAAGTTGCCATGGAGGCACTTACTGGACCACCGGGGGTGTCACCACTCGAAAGGGGAAGTTGGTAAGGGGGGGGGGGGTGGGTTAGCACATGCAATCACGCCTGAAATACTGGAACTGCATGGCATTACTAAGGTGGGGAGGAGGCCGCCGTGTTCTTCTGCTCAATGAGGCTCTGCCAGTGGGCGTCAGAGCCGCGCTTCCTTCTTTAAAAAAAAAAACTGTCAACAGCCTTTGTGGACAGTCTGGGCTGTCGATCCAAACCCCAAATTGAGGGAACAGTTTAGGAGGTTTGCTCTACAAACCGCAACAGCTCAGCTCACCAAACGAAGGCTGTTGTGCATTACAGCAGAAACAGATTGTGTTGCTACGGAGGAGCAGCGCAGGAGGCTCATTTCTCGGGTACTGACTTGAGGTGGCTTCTCAGCTTCAGCATGAACGTACACTCTGCAGAGGCCTTATCGAGATAACCAGAGGGATACGCCTCTGCAAAGGAAATAAAACGTCCTGACAACGGACAAATCAGTAGTGAAAGACTAAAGTGTTGATTCAGCACAGCCTTTCTTTCCTCACGCATCCGCTTATTTCCACACACTTAGGTCACTTAATGGGTCACTTAATAGAAATGACACCACACAACACAATAAAATCAGACTGATGTTTCTATTATAGGATTTTCATTTGTGAACAATGTAAATGTGATGTAACTGTTTAGCGAGGTGGTAATAATGTTTGCCACGGCATCTTACAGAACGGGCGGGTTTGAGGTTTGCGATTGAAATGAGAATACATTTGCGATGTCGTCAACGTCGCTGCTCACCTTCTCTTCATGTATCACAAAGGTTTTATAATGATTTCCTGCATTCCACACATTTGCTTTCATCTGTTTCACAGCAGCCTGTTCTTCCAGGAAACTTTACTTTGTTCTAGAATAAATCAAGAGGCTCAGAGAGTAAATGTGGAGAAGCGTCACATGCAGCGACTTCGCTGTCAGAAAAGCTTTATCGCAGCGCCTTTGTTGTACAAGTTTGGAAATGAACTTCAGTAAAACTTCATAAATCATTTTAAAGTGAGAGCCAATTGTATTTCAAACTAAATTACTAGGTACTTTCTTGCTGAATGGTGAGACGGGAACGTGTGATGGTGAGAACGTGTCATGATGAAGTGGTTACGATCCAACACTAAATAAACCACAACATTTGACATTTAAACTAGTAATTATGATTCATTCTCAGGCAGATCAGTGTTTTCTTCCCGCTCTGAAGAAGCTGCTCTATGAAGCAGGAATTAAAGAACAGAGACTGAAGGACAGTTGGATTTCCATCGTTTGAATGGAATCTAAATACAGGCGGTCAGCAGGAATGTAAATAATAAACACAAAGAACCCTTCTGAGTCGACACAGACGGCGATGCTGACTACGTTACTGAGCCGTGTGTGACAAAATGAAATAACTGTAATCGCACACAACGCGGCGCTTGTTTGACAAGCGGTTTCTTGAGCCGCCGTGCCGGCTCTCGCCGGTCCAGTTCAGCGTCGGAGCTCTTTGGCCGTGCGACCGGGGAAAAAAAAAAGGCTCTTTATTCCAGCTCATATTTGCATAATAATCGGGTCTGAACTGTGTCGACTCGGGATGCCGAGCTGCGCCCGGAACAGCTGACGAAGCAGCGAGCGCACGCGCCGCTGACCCATGATGCCTTGCGGGCGAGAGAGTTTCCGAGGGCTCTTTTCAATTGGCTGCGGCGACGGGAAATGACGTCGGCTGAAAGGCCGAACTACACATTCACCAAAAAAAAAAAAAAAAAAAAACACGGCGGAGCCAAACAGACAAGTGTTGTTCGACACGCGCGCAACCGTGTCGCCATGGACACAAGCGTTGCCTCTCTGTTGCTGAGGCCCAAACAGACCAGCAGAGTGCTCGCTGCCTCATAACGAGTCAGATCAATCTCGGCCGTCTCTGCGGCTCATTCGAGTGAGTGAGTGTGGGGGGGAGAAAGAGGGAGGGTGCTCGGACGGGCCCGATTGGCGGCTTGCGACCCCATGACACGTACCTTTTCCACGTCGGCCTTCGTCACGTTGATGTCGGCGTCCATCCGCTCAAAGTATTGCTGCGCTCGGTCGGCCTCCTTGCAGTCCCGCTCAAACTTCCTTTTACACTGAAAGCGGAAGCAACGGCAAATTCATCAGTCGTTTCCTGCCGTGTGTGTGTGTGAGGGCGGGAAACGCTCAAATAATTTGACCTTTTTTCTTTAATCAAATAAGCAGAGTAACCGACGTCACAACGAGCCACAGATGCGTCACGCAGACTTGGGAGGCGAGGCATTGTGGCGCGGCGGCCATCGACGCGGCGTCTGCAGCTCGCAGATTAAACAAATGTTCACTGTGGCCGTTTGTGTACGGAAAAACAAGCATTCATTCAAGCCGCCCTCGACCGACCCCCCCCCTCCCCCACCGCGGGCGAACAAACCGTGTTTGTTGGGCCGGCGTGCACTCTGACCTACGCCTATCTGCCTCGCGCACAAAGGGATCATTGAACGCGCAGTGAAGTCTGAGGAGGACGGGGCGGTTGTGCATTTCTGCCCCCCCCCACCGCCCACCACCACCACCACCACTGTCAGATGGGCCGGGCACAGATAAGAGGGGGTGTTCTGTGCAAGCCCTCTTTTGGCCGCTTCACTTAAACAAAATGAAACAACAGACCCTCCTGGTTATGATCTCATCTCGGGTTCTAACAAAGATCGGAATCGCAGTGTTCTAAATCACTGTTAGTTCGGTCGGCTGGCAACGGAAGGAACTCACAAGTGGAACTTTTGCATTTCTAGTTCTACTGCACCGAATGAGCCAAGCCAGGCTTCTAATCAGTTTACCTTCAAAAGGCCTGTGGTACAATGTGATGACACCATCTACCTGATATGTCTTATGATATATCGCGCCGCGAAAGTGATTTTATTTGAATTTATTTGTATTTCCTCTTTTGGACTTTACACCTCGACCGATAGTGCAATAGTAATAGTATTAGTTTAGTCCAATTTAAATCTGCCACTATGCAGAAATACCAGCTTCAAACAGTGTCTGCTGGTCTCACTTTGTTAGCACTTTGTTAGCATCAAAGCTAATGAATCCAGACATCTCTTATTAAACTCTCTTTTTCAAATAGCAATGAAAGGTAATGTTATTAAGCTTTTTGTTTTTAGAATGTACCAACTGAGGCCAATAATGGGTAATTTAATCAATAAAAAATGTATCCTCATTTCAAAATATATGTAGTTTATATCAATAGTTTTGCCTCACTTTCCCGTCGTGGTGGTGCACATAACTGGGGTCACTCACCGATTCCAGCTGTTTCCACGAGCTCTCGATGTGCTGCTGTGCCTTACGGCCATCGTGGAAGTGCTGTAAGAAGAGACGGCGAAATTATTATCGTCCTAAATCACCAGCTTAAGAGATTTGAGAGCAGGTGACCTTGACGACACGTCAGAAGCAGTTTCCACCACGCCATTAAACATTATGAGCGTCACTGTCAGGGCAGGATTGATGTCAGCTGATGAAGTGGGGCAAATTCAAATGTATTCTATACAGTAGAGACATTACGAATCATCACCATACAATCCACACGCTCCGCTCTCACAGATCCACACAAGGATCCACTGAACGAGGCCTTGTACTAAGCAGAGATCCGATCGAGTAAAAAAGGTCAGACGCGCCGCAGCGTGAGGAACGATGACACCCGAGGGACCGGCAGCAGGCGCTCCCACGTGTCACGGGTCACGTGACGGCTTGTGAAGTTAAAAAATAACTGTCCTGTCCGTCTGCTTGGGCCCCAGGTCCACATGACCTCAGTGCAGAAACCCCATGTGACGTCAGCAATGTGGGCATCATTAAACTGATGAACTCCTGTCTGCTTCTTTCTTTACTTTTAAAGGTTTGTTAATCGCCTGATCCACGAAACAAACGTCTCTGCTTGATACGAGCTACTTACGTATAAAAATCACACCACCTAATTGGGGCCTTTTTTTTTCATTTGCTTATCAAACATGCAGATAATTCCTCCGCCGCCGCCGGTGGTCACGTTGACCCGGTACAACATAAACCAGACGCCCCGTGTGGCATTGAGAGGGGACCATCAACGCGGCGGCCCCTGGTTACGCTCAGGTTATCGGCTCGGTGGCCGAGCTGAGAGCAGGAAGCTTCGGCCGGCGTTTCAGCGCTCAGTGCTCCGTGCAGCACCTCAAACGCAAGAGATGTGAAATCAAGACTGACGGGTACGAAAGGTTCATCGCACCCGAACAGAGTAGTGAAAACGCGCCCTGGTTCACCTCAAAGAGTCGCACTTCTCCTACGCTCAAGATTAGAGGGAAGCTCAGCTGAATAAGGAAGTGCTCCAGTGTTTCAGAGGAAGTATTTCAGCTCTCACAGAAACGGGGGACATTTGCGGCGCTTCGAGCCTTTTGTTGTTTTTTTTAAGACCCTGACCTTCAAATTCCCGTATGATAAAAAAAAAAAATTCCGAAAGAAGTCTCATGATAAGAGACAGCGAAGATACAATGAGGCCTTTTTCACAACACCGGGTGACATCATGGTTACCGTGGAGCATTTTTCAACCAAACATTTGTCTCCATAATAACATATTTGAGAAATATCCAGCGTCTCATAAACAAACCTCCCGTAGATAAACAAATGTAAACCAAGCAAAATACTTCTCCGCCCAAATCCTGTTGGAGGACGACGGCCTGCAGCCAAGAAGCACCAAGCATGAGCTCACTCCCCCTCAAAGCCCATAAAGGAGAGCGCATCATCGCTTGGGACTATCGGCCATCTGGCACGCAGGTATAAATGCTGCAGCCGGACTCAGGCAGATGTTCTGCAGCCCTCTCTGTGTTTATTCATAGACTGCAGAGGTACTCCCTCACCCCCTCCCCACCCCCCGGCCCGCTGCCGCTGTCTGGGACTTCTGGGACTTAAATGTAATGGGACTTAAATAAATACGGGAATCCGAGCCATAGTAGCAGAGCAGAGGGCATCCTGAGCAGAGCGTGAAGTCAGAGCATTCCAAATGGAATTGTATTGAATATTTTTCCAGGTGTGCATGATGGTGCCTTCAGTGGAGGAGGATGAGGACACGCGTGTGATCGTCAGGCACCAGTTAACAGCCACGAGTCACAGGAGCTCTGCGCACCGGAGGGACGCTTACGTGCTCCCCGAGGAGCGCCACTTTTCTCCTCGGGTTGAGGGCACATCGGGAAGATCAGCGCTCCCTCTCAGCCCCCCTTTTGTCTGTCCACTCGGCACGAGGAGGCGCGTGAGGAGGTAAAGCAGTAAATACAGAATGGCGACGTTGTTGCCGTGACTGGGAGGTCCCTGGAGGTCATTATGGGTCTTTAAGGGTCTTTATCAATCCTCATGGGAGAGACCGCCGGAGCCGTGTGATCAGAGGCCTGCTGAGGACGACAGTTTGCTGACCGGACACTTTATCACAGTCCAGTTCCTTCACGTTAACCCGGCCCACTCGCCACGTACCGCCAGGAGAACCACATGGCATCTCGCTGAGGTCACGGCCCATTTGGAGATTTATTCCCGTGGCTTCATTCTGAGCTGTAAAACCAGGTTCCACTTTTGCAAAAACGAGTATATCTGCTCTCCTTAAAGAAAGCCCTGGTGCCCTCGCCCGCTGTGCCACCCCATGCTGAGCTTAGCAAGAGGTTCTCTCGTAACAACAAACCCACATGAGAAACTAGTGGGGTATTTATTTGCCGTTTACCTGTCTAATAAACTGTCTGCGAACCCAGCGGAGGCGGGAGCTGAGCCTCCTCTGATCCCGGCGTCTGGGTCGGCCTGCATAGCTTCGTCTGACATCGACGCCAGTCCCAAAAGAAGAAAAAAAAGCCCGGCGCCGTCCTCAGAAAGCCATGTGAATGAACCCAGTGGCTCATGAGCAACGGCTTCTTTACCTTTGTGACTCACTACGAAAGCCTGGATTTACTGAGCAGAGGCTGCTAGTGAGCAATGAAACCTGATATGAAAAGAAGATTTGCCCCCCGGGGACAGAGTTCTGAATGCGACTGAGAAACTATTTGCTCAATGACGCTAAGCTGAAACGATCTTCTGTTCAGAAGAGACAATCTTTTGGGTTCACGGTATTGAGGGAACCTCCCCCACCCTTTCCCAGCAATGGCTCTTTTTTTTTTTTCCCGTCACAACAGGCAAACACATGACAAAGGAGGGGTCTCACCATGACCCTCTGCGTGGACACTAGAGAGACAGACACTATCCCAGGCCGAGCCAAACCAAACCAGGCCAGGCTAAAGCAAAGCCAAAGGAGCGGAACGGACCCCGGGGCGGCGGATGACTCCCCCTCTGAATCGTTAAAAAATCCCCTTTCCTCTCTGGAAATCCAAACTGGTCATGAGACACGGCGCTCCCTGTAATCAGGAGGCAGATCCAGCAACACGAGCATCACCAGTTGAGCACATGTACTCTTAATAAGGACCAATGTGCCTCTGAACGGCCCTCTGGTTTGGGTTTTCCACTCCAGTTCCCTCAGCTGGACTTCCGTGACTCAAGAGCCTGTGACAGATTTAGCGAGACTACTTCTTTTCCAGCTGGGTGGTTTTTTTTTTTACTCAGCCGCTCTACTGACTCCACGGCTTCAGCGGGCCGCCTCATTGTTATCTCTGCATCAGGCACAGCAGGCCCGCCACTTTGTGACGGCGAGGAGGAAAAGGGACTTTAGCATCTGAGAACAGTGTGTGTCAGGCGGTTTACAAAAGAGAGAAACGAGCCTGTAATGAGAGAGAGACTTTGTTCCATGAGAAGGACTCGCTCAGACACATTCTGCCCTTTGGGGTGTATCTATATTTACTCAGCGATGACCTCAGTCCGTAGAGAATAGAATATGCGGAGAGAATGGGCTACTTAATTTCTTAAAGGCCAGTGTGTGTTTTGTTTTTCCTTCACTGAATCCGTGTCCTTCTGTCTCAAGTAACTTCACTGAGAGACAAGATGATGCGGAACCAGCAAACAGTGAATTACGGAAATATTTCCCACCGATTTTCTCTCGGCCTTGAGGTCCTGCAGGAAGCGCGAAAGGTCGGTGATGATTTGAGACGTCAGGTTCTCCGCGATGACCTCGTGTTGACCCGCGTAGTCGTTCAACTCGTTGAGGGACGTCAGGAAGGCTCGACAGAAGGTGTACCTGCCGGGGCGACAGGAAGCGATATCAGAGTTGCAGAGGGCAGAAAAATAAAAATAGTATTGTGACAGATTCTGATGCAAAGAGGAACAAAATATTTTAGTTAGTTTTTGGACTTTTTGAACAACAAACAATTTTTGACCTAATATTTTTTTTCTTTTTTGAACACTCTTTTTAATTTAAAAATAAATTTTGACTCAATATTTCTTTCTTTTTTTTAAATATTTTTATGGTCACAATGTCACATTTTAGGTTAATACCGAGCAGTTGGCTTAGCTTAGCTTAGCTTAGCTTTTTTCAAAACAACAATGTTCGACCTTATATTGTTTTTCTTTTTTTTGACTGCATTTTGAATTTTTAGAAATATTTTAATTAAAATATTTTTAAATGTCAAGGAACAGTGTCATATTTTTGGGGCATACCCAGCAGTTAGCTCACCTTAGCCTAACGACCAGAAACCGCGAGCCTGGCCATTTTCCTACAAAAGCCAACTGTACAACAAACATCCCGCCGCGGTTATACAGGTGCTCTTGTCACTTCTCAATCCGTCAGCGTTCCACAAATATTCTTTCAGTCTATTCCACGTGTGCAAGATCCTTTGACTTACTTGCTCTCATCCTCCTCCCGTGAGTTCTTCTTGGGTTGATACTTCTTTGATAAATTCCTGTGTGGACAAAGAGTTCAGACTCGTCAGACATTTCCTAGCGTATCTCTCCTAAGAGCCCAGTGTGCACCGTTATTATTACATTTCCCTGGCAAAGGATCCCCCAGTGCACCAGCAGAGTGCTTTCCGCTGCTTCCACTACATCCCCTTTCAGCTCGTCGGGGTCATGAATCATGCCCCCCAGGAGTATGTACTGTACGCACGCAGAGCCAGTCACCAGAAGCAAACATGCTTTACAACACACGGCCATTGTAGGCCCCGTTTTGAGTCAAGACGAGTGCAGCGTGAGGAGGAGGAATGAGATGCTGTGTAGAGATGGATGGGAATGCACGGCGTCTGTGCATTTATATTGATGGCATTGACTTATCCGGACTCATGGTTATAGCGTTCTTTCAAAATCCTTCCCTACACCGTTGTGACGGGTTGACTGCTTACATCGTGTCACGTTCCTTTCGCTAACTGTTTGCATCATAACATGGGCTCTGCTCGGACGGATTTGGGTGCACATTGTGAGCTTATGCCTTCAGGATCCTTTGTCTAATTTAAGAGCACTGTTCTCCGTTTCAAAATGAACGAGCCAAGTATTGCACGAAAACAAAAATGCAGGCCGACACCTACAAGAAAAAAGCCATTCAAATCTTAAAAACACTGCAGAGGAAATTGAAATGTATTTCTGCAACTTTGTTGCATCTTATGTCTTTATCGGCACTTTTATCTGTGATAAAACAAAATGAGAATTTGGATCTTACTTATAACTTTTTATACAATCAAAGCTTTAAAATAAAATTTCAAAATATTTTTGGGCCTAACATTTTTGGGACTTTTTCTATCATCTTCATCATCACCTAATATTTGACTTTTTTCAAAACATTTTTCAATGTAACATTTTTAGACTTTTTTTTTTCTAAATATTTTTTGACCTAATATTTTGTTGCTTCTTTTTCCATGACGTTTTCAACCTAATATATTTAGATTTTATTTAAAAGCACTTTTTGACCTGATCATTTAAAAAAAATTTATCCACAATATATTTTGACCCCTTCAAAAACAAACAAAATGTTTAATATAAAAGTTCCATTTTAACCTCTGCATTTTAACCCATCCCGGGCAACAGGAGCTGTCTGTAAAGCGGCTGTGAGCATCTCGAGATTTACTGACTCACTCAAGGACTCCCGGCATGCGGGCAGTCCGCGAATGAACCCCCCCCCCCCCCCCCCCTGTGGTTAGAAATACTTCCCTAAATACCCTCTGTGCCACAATGAATGCACGATTTACAATCTAAATTTCGGCGTAATGAATGAAGTTTTAAAGTGTTCCACATGTAATGAATAATACACGTGTAAAAAAAAGATATGTGAAATGTGTGTCTCGCCGTGCCCCCCCCTCGCCTCTCCTCCCTGGTGGCTTTGCACTGTTGCCAGGCAGATCTCTCTCCCTGTCCTTCTCACCCCATATCTAATTATAGGGCTTTTTCGCGTCATATATATAATCGCCCGCATTAACATATCTAACAAACCTGCCAAAATAATGGTAGCAGCTCCATTAGGTAAATGAATTAACGTTTGTGTAAGTGTGTGTGTGTGTGTGTGTGTGTGTGTGTGTGTGTGTGTGTGTGCTGCTTCATACACTGTAACCCCAATAAAGACAGACCCCACCCCCACCTTCCCCTCACCCAGTCTCTTTGGTGAGCGGGACTTTATTCCCACTGTGTTATGGATTATGACCCGACTGGAATGTGGGGGAGGGGGGCATTAATGCATTGCCCTGCAATGACTAGACTGGAGCATTGTGTTTACATCCATGCAGGGGAAGAGGATTATTCATGGATTAGTGCAGGAGTGGAACAGGGTGGCGTAGCAGCCATCGATGCCGTTCAATTGGGGAGGCATGAAGGCTCTGTCATGTAGTTCAGGGCGGGCTTACTGTGAGTGACAGGCTGTGGCCGGACACGGTGTCAAATTTAGGAACTGCAAAACGAGCTGGCCGGCGGCCACAATGAAAGCTTCATCGCCAACCAGTGGGTGACGTCTATGATTGTAACGTAAGAATAAATATACTGAATGCATTCTTTAGTCATCATGTGAACTCACAAGATACGGCCATGGAGCCAGACAACGTAACGTGTTAAAAACACAGGAAAACCTTATCGTTCACGGTATCCTGTCAGTACATACTAATTTCCTCAGTTCAGAGAGACAGTGTGTGTGTGTGCGTGCGTGCGTAGATAACAGTCAGTTTGACAGCGGGCCCTCTGTGTAAGCACACTGACTGAAAACATCCGCACCATCTGTGGAGGCTGAAGTTCTGTAAAGCTGACCGTACTATGCGGACCACACCATTTCTTAAAAACGGCGCTTTGATTTGTTCTGGATCAAACTAAGGACGAATGATGGTGCGTAAGCAACACGGTAAAAGGGGCGTGAATGCACCTAAACACTAAATAATGTTCTTACTAAGATGCAAATGAGTCGAAAGTAAGGTGCATAAATATGAGAAGGTCTCATGCTGCATGCTGTGCTGTGGTGTTTGTGGGGGAGGGGGTGATGGGTGGTGTGGGGGGGGGGGTGAATGCATGTAAACACAGACGGCTAGTCCTATTATCTCAGGCGGACTTAATTCTGTAAAAGCGGGTCCTCTGTGGAGGATCTGTTGCTATGTGAATACTAGATTGGTATTGGCCTGTCGCTATGTAAGAGGGGGGAGGGGGGTCAGTCCTTTAAAGCATTAGACATATTGCCGGCCCGCTTTAAAGATGAGGATCGCGGATTTGCCGTGGCGGTTGGGGGGGGTTGGGGGGGCATCTCCTACTGTGTCGGGATCCATGATGAGTTAAGAGATGGATTCTCTCAGTGCAGGACTGCTCCTCAACGACTGCACCATCATGTGTGTGTGTGTGTGTGTGTTTGTGTAGGACTTGGGGGGGTGGGGGGGGTGGAGGCGGGCCGACAACCTGTGGGTTGAGGGGGAAAAAAAAAAACTGGGTCAGACCTGGGGTTGATAATGCTGATATCTACTCGTCTCTATGGAAACACAAGCTCCGCCTCCATCCCCCCCACAACCTGACTTCCTCTTGCGTGGAGCAGAAGCCAGCAACAGCAGACAGTGAGACATGCACGAGCGAGCGAGCGAGAGAGAGAGAGACAGAGAGAGAGAGACAGAGAGAGAGAGACAGAGAGGCGGATAGGAAAAGATGGAGGAGGAAACAGAAATCCCCTGTTTCTACATCGACATATCTATGATTAAAGCAATTATGCTTATTCATATTTTGCTGCTAAAGTAGTTTGTCCCGTAGGATAATTATCCCTAGAGAGGGAGGTCAGAGGTCACTGTCAATCTCTTGTCTTGGATCATAAATCAGCTCGAGAACTCACCTAATTTGTTTTGCATAGCTGGTTTCAATCTCCGACCTCTCCTTGACAAATTTGGTGTACTTCTCCACGTATTCGATCCCCCACTGTGTGTGCTTCTCCAAGTTGTCAAACTGATCCTGCAAGAAGAAGAAAACAAACTTCAAACACCAGGTAGAATGCAACGTGAAAATATCGAGTTGGCAGAAAGAAGTAGGAGAATATAAATATTGTCTCTGCGCCTCGAGCAGATCAATGAGGCACACATGTGTCGGTGTTTATTCCAAACCACAGATCAGCCAGAAGCGACAAAAACATTCCAGGAGCCACCTTTCCCGGCCTGCGACGGACGCACGTTCATTTTAAGTTGCAGACTTTTCAAATGCGCTTTAAGTGTGACGGAGCGCAGCTCGTAAACAGACACCACCAACCTCCAAACACAGCTGCTGGGCCTGAACTCATCATTCACTATCTGCTGGTGACCGAAAAAAAATGAGCCTCCAGTCGGCCGAGGTCCCGTCTCCAAATCCATCAAACACAGAACATTTGCATCTGCAATGGACACACACACACACACACACACACAGATACACGGACAGGCACACGCTCATCAACGCAGGGTGACGTTTTTAAAGATGAACACTTAACCAAACAACCTTGGTGTGACTCCAACAGTCCCCCATCCTCTCCTCCACCATGTCTGTAGTCGACCCGAGTCCAGCTAACGGCTCCTGCACGGCGACGCGAAGTGTGCGACGGTCCCCTGTTCTCTGAGCCGACGGCACACGACGCGCTCAGAGCGTCTCTGCGCTCAGAGCGTTTCCATCTTGAAGTTCGCAGGAAGCGGTTGTGGTGATGAGCGGCTCCTCGAACTCGAGGGTTGGGTTTCTCCGGGGGGGGGGGGCCGAGTTTGTTCCTGGAATCTGAGCGTTCGGGACGGCGTCCCGTCGCAGCCCGGCGGGCGGCGTGTGTCGCGGATCGTGACGAGATCAGCTCGAGGAGGCTTTCTGAAGCGGCGTTCGCGAACTGAACGACTCCCCAGTTCAAGCACTCAAGGACAACAATGGAGAGAGCACTTTGCACGCAGGGGGCGGGTGGTGGTGGTGGTGGGGGGGGGAGGTTTCCAGTCTGCATTGTAAAGCAGTTTCAATGAGCAATCAATCTGCAATAAGCCACTCACAGAGAAGAATGGCGAGATAAAGCCAAACAATACGGCATTTGATTCCGAAATCACCTTTCTGACGCCCGTTCTACTTTATTCATCTATTTCCACTCACGCGCCGACCCGCTGACGTCTCACACTCACTCAAGTCATCGGACAGCATTACTTCATCATCGCCAACCATCCCTGGTGGAGAGCAGCCGACAATCAGCTCCAGGTCACTGCAGCCACATCATGCACATAACAACCTCCCCCCTCCTCCTCCACCTCCTCCCTTCTCTCCACACACACAACTGTGATTACCCTTTTTTGCAGGGGCAACATCTTCTCCAGCGAGTCCCTGTTTGTAATGCTTTGCCTTTTGGAATATCCTGGAAAAAAAGCCATTAAACCCGCTTTCTTCTTCTTCTTCTTCTCCTCCTCTTCCTCCTCCTCCCCCCCCAGCTCAACAAAAGGCTGAGGTTAGGTCAGCGAAGGCGTCCACGGGACCATTCCCAAGGTATCCGAAGCGCAGATAAGCGTCCGGGTTTTGGAACAATGTCCGCTGACTCTCCCCCCGGCGACTCCCGACTCGGGCGGGATGACAAAGAGACGGCGCGGTTGTAGCGAGCGGTTTCCCGGTAAGAGTTCTGGTCAGGAGCGAGAAATCCCAGAGAGGAGGAGGAGGAGGAGGAGGAGGAGGAGAGGCTGCCTCACACACTCTCTGCATTCAGGCGGAATGCTCCATCAGGCGTGAGGTGGAATGGGTGGGATGGCAGAGGAGGAGGGGGGGCCGAAAGGAGGAGTGATATCAGGGGAGGTGGGATTACATGCGAGGGGGATTCATTTTAGGTGCTGCTGTAATCTCATGAACTCCAACTGCTGCCGTATTTCATATGTAATACCAATTGTTTGAGAAAAAAAAATAAAAGCTTATCACCCCGCTCATGAATCTCTGCTGACATCAGACCGGAATCAGGATGGAGGTAAAAATGGAAAAAGATTCTCCAGCAGCGAGAGAAAGAGCCACTTAATAATAAATGAAGGATCTGAGTGGGGAAACGCGTGAACGACAACAAAACATTGTTGTCATTACCGTAGAGTCTCCCTGCCTCTTTGGATCGACCTCTCGCCAAATAAGACTTTTAAACCTTTGAGCCATGCGATTATTACTATTATTATTGTGGGTGATTTATGAACAGAACCCACAACCCGGTTTTTTACGGCCCCTTTTATCTCAAGACAAATAACAACGGTGTTATTTTCCCTCTGGAACTGGAGAGCACCTCCCGGAAGAAATACTCAGCACGAACACGTGTATTTAAAAACATAAATCCTCTTTGACTTTGCTGTTAGTCACGTGTGCACAACATGCGAGCTGAACAGCTACTGGCTGAACAGTTACAGGAACAATATTTAAACCTGTGGAGGCCTCCTGCTTCAACTCTGACTGCCGTTCTGTCATCTGCGACCTCTGACACCTGACCTTGTTCCTACGGGAGGGAATACGTGTGGGGCAGAAGGAGAGGCGGGGGGGGGGGGGGTCCTTGGAGGAAACGAAACCCGCCCCACTCTGCTTGTTTTTTCGGGACACAATAGTACATGAAAGGGCGATAAATGGAACAGCCAAATATTGTTTTATCGTCCAGGAAACGGGAGAGCGGTTCGAGCCAGAGAACAAAAGGAGACGCAAACTAAATATATGCGAGAAAAACAAACACGGGGCTCGTTTGGGGATCAGCCTTCTGATCTCCAACCCGTCCCAACCGCCGACGGAGATTATTGCGCCCTTTTCTCAACCAGAGCACGTTAACAACCGATTCAGATGAAATCTCTGGTTTTCAGCCTCGCTGATTAGATTCTGAACACACTGAATGACGACTATTTGACACACGATCCCCCCCCCTTTTACAAGATAATGAGATCAAGATGGATCCATTGTTGTGGGTTGCAAAGGAAGAGAGCAGCCGAGTGGGTGGAACCTTTTTACAAGGTCGGCGATAACGGGATTGTCTTTCCCTCTGAAGAAACGCCGCCCCCAGGGGCCACTTCCTGCTTTATTACGCTGCAGGGGTCGGCGTGCTGCTCCCATGATCACAGTGAAGATCGAGTGCGTGTGTGTGTGTGTGTGTGTGTACTAAGAACATCTAAGAACACCTCAGTCCCATGAAGAGCAAGCGCCGACCCAGTTGCCCTATTCGCAAATAGGAAGACGAATGAAAAAGTTTACTTCAGGATCCCCGACTGCTGACAAGCTAACTAAGCGTTCGCTGAAAAGCGGCCATTGGCGTCTGAGGCTTCCTGCCAATTCTTTCTTTATTCCGCATTTCGGACAAACAGCCCGATTGTTCCTGCGAAGCCAACACGCTGCCTCTGCGAAGGAAGCAACGCCGCAGAGAAGCCGCCACGTTGACCCAAAAGCTCTGTGCTTCCTACCGACCGCAGCAGGTGGGCGGCCGGCCGCGAGGACAAATTATTTGCGGGAGATGCCGAACCTTCTTTCCAACACACACGGCGCTTTGTGCAAGAAAGCAGTGTGTGGGGGGGAAGTAGGGGGGAGGGGGGGGGGGCAATGTGAAGAAAAAAAGGGCTCGTGACCCGACGCTTCGAGTAATGGAGAGCTGTTTCTGGTCGGGGATGTCAAAGGTTCACCAGGGTGTGTCGGCCCTTTAAATGACCACTGAACACACCGATGCTCAGGATCAGTCATCGGCGGCCTGATGGGAGAGAAAGGGGGGGGGGTATAAAATCTAAATGGATCGATGAGGGGAACAAAACAAACACATGTGACACGGGGGAAGTGGTCCTGTGGCCTGCTGAATACCAGCAGCTGTTTGGGGGGGGGGGGGGTGGCGAGGGGGGGGTTGGGTGACCTTATGTGTAAGAGGGCTTGTTTGCATGCCGTGTGGATATTAATAGAAACGGACGCCTCCGCTGCGTGTTGGCGCACGCACACGTGTGTCATGCTTACATGTCCATAAAGCATTTCTTCCCCTGCGCCTGTTTGTGCACATAGCCCCCCCCCCCCCCCCCCTCTCCTGTCTTCCACCCCGGCTGTTACTTAATCCCTCCACCAACGTCCATGTCTCTGGCGAGAAACAGTTCCGTGTCAGGCGGCGGGTTTTCTACTACACAAAAGAGAAATGTGTGTTGGCTGGAGAGTGAGAGAGGGGCGCGGGGGTGTGGGGTCTTCTCATTCATGGACAAAAATAGATAAACGTTTTACTACAGAATTTCAGAATTAGGTTCTGGCTTTTCTTCTAAAGTCCTACAAGCTGTCGCCCGGACGAAGCTCTTCTCTCAAAGAGAACCGGCTCACTTACGCCGCTCGTCGTCTTCATCTGCATCAGCAACTGCAGATACTCCTCGTACGCGCTCGCCGGCTCTACCTTCGGCTCCTCCGTTTCCTCCGCCTTCGAGGAGCGGACGCTCTCCAGGAAAACAAAAAACTCGCTTTTTCGCCGCAGCATGGTCTAAGTCAAAGTCAGACGGGTTAAAACAAAAAAAAAGAGAGAGAAGACGGAGCTCCGGACGGAAGTTAATCCATCTCGGAGGAGCGAAAAGCACCAGAGAGGAACGCGGCTCGCTCACGTCGGGGTACTTAGAAGAAGATGCGGTACATGTCGAGCACGCTGGTGATCCAAGAGGAGATGCTCATCGGCGGGGTGACGGGAGGAGGGCAACAGGAATGTTGAACGCGGTCCCACAAGTCGATGAAGTGACATTGTCATTAATCTGATTACTACACCTCCCTCCCAACCACCCGAACCAGCCAATGGGACGCGGCGCTCCCGTGGATTATTCCCGCTGAGCCAGCAAACACACGTTAGCCATTGTTCCCCCTGAGCTGTGTTTGTTCCTTTTTGGGGGGGGCGATAAAGCTCTTTAAATCTTATACAACACATTCTCTGGAATTACGGAAAACGTCCGAAACTCGACACTTCCAAAGCGAGCGGCGTCGCATGGAGCAGAACATGATGGCTGCAGAAAAATGAGAAATGAATCCGTATCGGTACGACCTGGTGTGTGTACCCGGCAATACGATCTCATCGCTAATGCATTGGTATCCATGACAAGTAGACATTGCATTTACATCACGATCAGAGCAGGACGGCTGGAAAACATTTATCCAGAGCAGGCCTGTGCCATCGATTGCTATCGAACCAACACGCGTTGTTTGTTTACACGCATGTTTGTTTGTTTACTCGACATTTTGGCCGTGATGAGAACTAGCACAGCTGGTCTTTCTGCCATGATGGTACACGTTGCGGAGAGGAGGGTGCAGGCGGACCTCCAAGTTGTGTTTAAAGCACAATAATTACAGAGAATATGATTACTGTACTTCCTTGCTTTAACATGTCAGCGGAGGAATAACCCGGTCTGACGTGTGGAAGTCTGCTGGCAGGCACGGCAGAACATACATCGTGTGGTTTGCACTCGGAACCCGACTCGCGTGACTCGCTCACGTGTTCCGCTCAGAAATAGATGTTCTTTTTTGGCTGTCAGCGTCAGCGTCGGGTTCATCGCACAGAAAAGATCCGTGGGGTTATTCCGGATTACTGCAGAATAAAACGTTTATAAAGGGACCCGCTATGTTCTGCGAGGCTTCACTGAAACCCGTTGTCTCGCGGTGGTTAAAACGCGATGCTATAAACAAACTACGGCCTCTCGCTGCCACACGTGCGCTGGAGGCCGGCTGCTGTTCAGTCGTCTCATTTAGCCCCCCCCCCCCCGTCGGCAAGCGTCTTCTTAATTAAGAAAAGCACTCTGGTACTGACGTGCACTTTTATTATGTTCTCTCAGGCTTTGTGTCAACCGCAAACCTCATTTCAGCATCTGACCAAAAAGTGACTGAAAGAACCTTCAGACCAGGGGAAGCAGCGATGCAAAAACGCTCGTTCTTACTAGCGTGAGCTATTTGAGCTCCTTATATATCCTTTATTCTATGCAGGATGAAGGTCAACACTTAAACCTGTTTATTTATTCTTTTTTATTCTTTTTATTTTTGCACACAAATGCTGGAATATTCTGCAAGGCCTCAGTGAGCTGCTTTCACTGTCCCGCCAAAGTTTCCCGCAGATACCTACTCGACGTCTGCTGAGCGCTGCAGGACTTCCTCGGGCCGTTTAAGGCCTCTGCGTGCGCGACAGCTGCACACGCGCGCTAACGCGCAGCGCGAGCCAGCTCCTCCTCGGGGAGACGTGGCGAGCGCCCTGCTGCTGAACGGACCCGACAACTCGCCGGACGATGCGATGCCTGTCATTTCCAACGCCATGCACTGCCAAAAAGCATTTAGTGGCACAATCGACCTCTCTGTCCGGCCTCATTGACGTCGATAAATGTCCACAGCGTCCCGCTAAATGCCCGACGTTAAATAACGTCAAAATGAAAGAACGATAATTCCAATTCCAAGCACAATGGGAGAGCATTAACGTGCCACAATGACGTACTATTACTACCGCGAAGCGTCCTTCGGCTTCGACAAGGCCTCCGAATAATCACCAAAATGTGCGGGTTAATTCACAGGAGACGCGTGATTAATTCTAGGTGTGGAAGCTGTAATAATATCGATGACCGTGAGAAGACATTCTTAGGGAGAACACATGGCTGCTCTCCAACATTCAGCAAACCCGCCGCGCCCACCGCGCCTCACCGAACATCCCGATAACAAAAGAGCCCAGACGGAGAGGTGGGATGTAACACAGCGAAGCGTCTTCACCACGTGTCCGAACACACACACACACACACACGAGCTGTGCGGTCACATGCATGTGCTTTGGGGATAACGAACACAGGCCGCAGAAACACTCCAGAGGTGAACGTTTCGTATTAGTTGCTTTGTGCAGGTAGATGCGTGACAATTCGTCATACGTGACTTCCGGCGTGTTTTTTTTGCCCTCCAAGCCAAACACTTGCAGCGTTTTGCAGTGATTAGCGCAGCGCTGCAGGGCTCAGGTGGCGTCACGCCGCGGCGGCGGCGGCATAATGGCCACTGTTACAGCAGATTAGAGGCCGGCTTCAAAAACAACACCACAGGCCCTGACTGCAGATTAGAACCCCCCCCCCCGCCGGGGGGTGGCGGGAAGGACTGAGTCCCCTGTTCACGGACGACGCGAGAAAACGAATCAAACCCCCCTGCGGCGTTTTAGGGGCGCGGAAGGACGTGGGGAACGTCAAGGAAGGACATCTCAGCGTGCGTTACAGTGTGAGCGTGCAGAGGAAGCGGAGGAAATGCCCGTCACAGCTTCCTGGAGATGTCATCAGATATGCAAAGTACTTCACAGTCAGCGTGTACCTTCATTCGTCAGAATGCCTCCGTCCCACCACTGTGTTCCATTCTCTCCGCCTGCCCCCCCACGGTGCAGCCCAACACACTGACCGCTACACGGTGCGGATCCATTCATCACTGTTTTACTGTCACGGTGCTTCTTCAAAGAAAAGGGCTCAGGAGGCTCGGCCTGGTTTCACTGAGTCAGCAGGTGGGTGGCGGTGGGTAAAAGATTCAGTGTGTGGGGGGGGTTGTCTGTAACACCTCCCCCCCTCGTTCCCCCCCACTGACTTCAGCACCGGGACAGAAGGAGACAAACTAGCTCGGGTTTCAGCCGTGGAAGTGCACTGGATGTCAAGGGAACGGCAGCGGGGGGGGGGGGGGGGAGCCGGGGGGGACTGAGCCAAGATGAGATACAAAAGCAGCGAGCACTGAGGAAATCTCAGTCTTGCCCCAAGCTGTTACAAACTTATATTACACAACCCCCCCCCCCCTCCCCCCCCGCCCCAAAAAAAACAACACAAGGTCATGAGGTCTGCGCCCCCGCCGGCAAAGTCTGGAGCACCTTTAACGACACGAGAGAGTGGCGCTGGGAAAGGCCTCTCCACACAATCCCACTTTCCCTTCTTTGGTTGCATGGGGGGGTAAAAGGGGGGGGGGGGGGGTGGGCAGCGGACAGAAGCGTGCCGACAATTACAAACACCTCTCGAGCCGTCTCCCACGGCAACGCGACAACACACACACTCATCGCTTCGCACAAAGCAACGCGCTATATTTGTAACAATACCGGGGGGGGGGGGGCGCCGGGGGCCGTTCGACTCACCCGGAGCTGCTGCTCTCTCAGCGGCGTTGACGCCCTGTCCATGTCCCTGCCTCGCCTGAGACACCCTGTTCGTCCCGCGGACAGAGACGACTTAGACGGCTCATGCGACGGCGAGAAAAGTCACAGTTCCCGAAGGAAGCGCGCCAGAGAAGTGAAACACTCCCGACGTGTCATAGTGAAAAGGTGCAGTGGTCGCTTCGCCAAAGGCCAGCGAGACCCAACGTTAGAGGGTACAGTACTGCTGATATCATGTGTGTGTGTGTGTGTGTGTGTGTGTGTGTGTGTGTGTGTGTGTGTGTGTGTGTGTGTGGTGTCCAGTCTGTTAGCTCTCGATGAAGAGCGATTATTTCAAGTGCGATGCCTCTATTGTTAGTTATGAAACTGTCGTTTATACATTTCATTTATTTTTCTCCAGCCCCGTGTTCCACTGAGACAAAGTCACACGCTGCACCACATCTTCGCACCTCCTTCCTCGGTTTGTGTTTGCACAAAGGCGGTTTCCAGGGTTCTTAAATGTGCACGTATGTGACGAAGATCCGTCTCTCTCTCTGTCTTCACCCTCTTCCGTTACATTTCATCACCCGACCCCGCGAGGTCTGGCACCCTCGTTATTCGCAAGAACTCGAGGAAGAAGGACTTCACGGCTGAAGTCTTCCTCAAGCAGCTCTTCGGCCCGTTGGTACGAATGTCTAAAGCGACCCGAGCCGTCCCCCCCAGGTGGAACGCAGTTTCAACGCCATGCGTCTCGGCCCGTGAGCCAGCGGCGGCCTGTTGGCGCTGACTCAACCAGCAGGTGGGTGAGCGGTTGAGAACCGCTTCCTTCTTGCCCCGCTCGCCTGTGACCTCACTTCCTGAAACACGGTTGAGTTTCCTGTTTACGGCGAGGATCAGCAGGAGGAGAGCGATGGATGTGCTGAGGCCTTCGTCCATCATGTTGCAACATCTCTAGCTGGACTAAAAAGTCCCGCAATCAAATATATGAAATTAGTTTTTTTTAGCATATCTTTGTTTGTTTTTGCAATCAATTAAAACACACAAGATTTTCAAGATGTCATCTTGGACTGTGGATAATTTCAATGAACGTCTCTTACATCTTTTTTGACATTTCAGCGACCAAATCTATTCGGGGGGAGCCCATGATCAGCAGAGTAACTGATAAAGTTGTCGGTTGAAGCCCCACAAATAGCTCCAAGGTAACTTCTGGTTTGGCGCGTTGTGTGAATCCTTCCAGCAGGAACCCGAAGGAGCACTGCCGGGTTCCGCCTGCTGCACAGAGTAAAACCAGGGGAACAAGTGTGTGGGTACGTTTCAGCCCACTACGGAGGGGGGGGGGGGTCGAAAAAGCAAAGCATCTGGTTGTAATACATAATTCTCCGTTTAAAAAAAACCTGTTCAAATGTTTTCCAGACTTAAGGTGCACATGAAAGCAAGTCTGCACGCTGTGTTCGCTTTGCACGACTACCTGCACCGGCGCTGTTTCTCGGTCAAGCATCGCAGAAGTCAAGTTTAAAAAAAATACATCCCTGGGAGGGAGAAAGAATGTGGAGCACTTGGGGGGGGGGGGTTTCTCTGTGAACTTTGGACCAGGTAAATTACTGGAGAATTTAAGGGGGGGAGGGCCTGCCCCTCCTCTTTTCTTAGAAAGGAGAGGACACCCATGACTTAACCATCTGCAGACCCTTCTGGTAGTGAGAAGAAGTAGAGAATGTAGCTCATAGCGTTGACGCAACACTGCAGTTTCATCAGAGGAACAAAGAGGAAGCGCTCCCCTCCGCGGCCCTGCGACCAGGTGCTGAAGTTCCGGCCTCGGTTCAACTCGATAACCCGACTTCCTGCAGGTTTCACGCGTAAACTCCCCGTCGCGACTTGCAAGCACGTTTTGCACGCACACTTTGAGACGCGCCGTTCCTTCCGGTCTGTCAGCACACGGCGATGACAGCTCTCACTGCGGATCCCTTCCACAACAACACAGCCGATGAAATAACAGGAATTCCTCTCGCCGCAGCTGCTTATTATTGGGTTATAAAAACTGGTTCCACACGAGTCCTGTAATCTTCATTATTACCATGCACCCCCCCCCCACCCACCCACGCGTGTATCTGTCTGAATAAGGGGATATACCTCGGGGTGGATTTGGGGCTGCACCGGGACGTGAGAAGTTAAGCAATAGTACATTTCAGGAAAAGAGTGACATCGCTGTGCAGGAATTTATCGTAGGATGGTCAGTGGGAGGGTCTGCTTAGTCTCTGTTGTTGCTCACGGAGATGAACCGAATCTCACATTCGAGTAGAAGGGCAAGCAGGTCCTTATTATTATTATTATTATTATTATTATTATTATTATTATCTGAGACAACTCGTGCTCAGATAATAACCGACCTGACATTTCCTGCAGTTAGTTAATTAAGCCCAAATTGGATGTTGGGAATGAGACGTGAACGCGTTGCCTGCAAGATCACTGCCAGAAGCTCAACTGACATCATTATGAAATACAATAGAATAGCTGGTGCGATAACGAAGAAGAGACTTTTCTCTCGCGACATTATGATGCTGTGAAACGCACGTATCGTTCACGTGCACGCTCGCGCACCGAAACAACAAAACGAAGCGCCACGGCAAATAAGAACACACGCACACAGTCTGCACGGGACCCGCTATAATGCACGTGTGTGTGTTTGCGTGTGTGTGTGTGTGTGTGCGTGCGTCCAAAACGTGGTTTGAAACGTGCACTAAAACGGATGTTTCGCTAGCGCGATGTTTCACACGCGCCCGCTCCCTTCGTGCCAGATGTAAACCACGCGCGGTGCTGCTGCGTAGCGGGCCGAACCGAACCGGACCGCACCGCACCGCACCACGCCGGACCGGACCGGGCCGGACCGGGGGCCCGGAGCCGCAGGCTGAACACCCAGCGAGCCGCGCGCACATTACACGTCCCGCCGGATGAGGACCGTTAGTTGCCGCAGAGGAGGAGGAGGAGGAGGAGGAGAGACTCACCCACAGCTCCGACCCCCAGCTCATGGTTTCACCACGACGTCCTCTGAATAATCCACAGCTCCCTTCTGAGGTGTTCTCCGCGCGCACAGCGGCAAACGTGACGTAGCGCCTTGTTTTCTTTTTTCTTTTTCTAAATAGTCAAAAGTCAGCGGGCGTCCTCCTGTTTGAAGAGAACGCGCTCCCGTGCTGGTGTTTTATTTCCTTTATAATAAGTTTTTCATCACCTTCTCATCCTGCCTGATGCAAGATGGCCAAGAGCCGCACAAACAGCCTTCAGACGGGAGAGACTCGCGATATGCAGCGCGGGCACCCGCTCCGAGCCAATGACAGCTGCTCCTGCGCGCGCACACGCGAGGGGGAGGATGGGGGAGGGAGGAGGAGGAGGGGGGGGGGGGCACTGCAGGGGTGTCCAATAAAGCCCTTTACAAAAATCGGTGCTCACTTTCTATTCCTTGCGTGCTTGGATCCATATGAATGTCGGGGGGGGTGCTGGAGGGTCATAAAGGTCACCGCCCTGGCAGATGTTTCATTGACAAACCCCACGAGGCTTAAACACCGACTACCAACTTTCTCTCTCTGTCTTTGTGTCTACGGTGCTTCGGTTTACTTCATCTCCTGTTTTTACTCCATCTCCTGTCCTTACTCCATCCGGTTCTTACTCCATCCTGGGTTTGCTTCACCCACTTATTGCATCCAAACAGGATAATTTATCGTTATTTATTTTGAAGTGTGTGCCTGTTGCCTCGGTCTGTGTGCGTTGTTGCCGTTTATTATTGGAACATGTGGGTTTTATGTGGTCTCTCTGGAGAAAGAGATGATAGGGAAATTAAATTAGATGTTTTAATTGTCAATTTAATTTGTCTAACAGAGCACGCTTAAAAGCCACTGGTCACATTAGGGCCATTTGGAAGAATACGATGAAACCACTCGAACAAATGAAATGTGTAAATAACTAAATAATCATATTAAATAATAACATTTATCATTCAGTGGAATCAAAAACAACAAGCAAGTTAGAAAGAAAACACATCCACGCTTATCATTACCATGGTGATTGTGATTGATCATATGAATTAAATCCATTTCCGTATTAATCCAATGGCCATGTTGTTACTACGACGCTGCCATCTAGCGGTTAAATATCGTACCGCAGGGTCATGCTTTAATAATAAGTGAAAAGAAATATTTAGATTATAGATTATAAATCCAGAACAAACTAGTTTGTCATAACTGCGGTGTCGCATTAACTGACGCACGTTATATGAGTTACGCCTGTATTTTTCCCACATGATAGATTGATAAAGTCATTTGGTAACCTATAAAATGTATGTGGCAGAAACCACTTTAGCATGTGGCATTATTCGGGATTATTTTAGGGCATCCAGTAGCCAAACATATCAATGAGAAGATATTACTTCATTGATTTATTCTGACGTTTTGGAAGTTCCGGTGCTTGTTTTCGAGCTAAATCACGGATTGTGCCTTTTTAACATTACGTAATTATGAAATGAGACTTAGTTCCGCCGGCAGGGGGGGCGCTAGAGCTGTCACGGTCCGTGTCAGGCACCTCTGTGCGTCACAGAACACTGAAGTGAAGTCTTCTGAAATCTCAAACCACAACCCTTGTCGAACCGAACGGGCCCTCCGAATGGCCTCGCGCTCTGCAGGCGGAGCCCTGACTTGAACCTGAGGTCGCCCAAGGCTCCTCTTCACGTCCCATCGACAGCTTCTACCACCTGCTTTTGGTTTCAGAGGATGAGATGACCCCCTGATCACCGGACGGTGATCGTCTGATTTATTTATCCAAGCACACAAGTCCAGATTTAACCTCATCCTGCAGGCCCGAGAGTCTGACAAGCCTCTTGTGTTTCAGCAGGACGTCCAATCACAACAAACTGGACCTCATTTTGTCAGTGTCCGAAACATCCGTCAGGTTTTTACAGTCTCCAGATGGAGGAGTTTTGTTTCGAGAGGGCCTGAACGTGAGCCAGAGCTCTGGATCTGTGCAACATCTGGATCCTTTCTCTGATAGAGGCTCTGTTCCACCACCTTGTAGGCCGCAGGTTCCTCAACAAGCGTGTTCCTCTCGCCGTGGGGCTTCGGTGGGCGCGTTAACCGTCATCTTTCATTTCCTCAGGAAACTTTCACTCCACTTTGTTGCTGCTTTGATCTCAATAAGCAGAAGTGTGAGAAAGCGGGACGGACGCATTTGTGTGTGTATTATCAGAAAAAAGGAAATGGCAGCAGCGACCAGATTTTCAAAAATATGTAAGCTGTATTTGTCAAAAGTCATTCAGTTAGTTAGTGGTTATTCTGTGAAATCCTCTAAAGTTCATATGAAAAGTAATGAATGTAGGCCGAGGACACAAACACATTCACGACTGCAAATATACTACAACCACACACGTCGTACTACTGAACACACACACACACACACCCACATCTCTAACACTAACACAACACACTCATGCACAACTCAAACCGAGCACTCAGTGTCAGGTTTCCTTCTTTATTCGGTGCATGACATTTTGTCACAACATTTGAGTTACCGAGTAAACAGTACATGATACTTTATCGTGTCTCTAAAGCAAACAGTTGTATCGACATTTTCAGGCAGCGCGGAGCTTGAATATAAACGGGTTTTTTCAAATAAGGGAAAGGGGAAGTTTTTATTGCTTTCATTTTGACAAGTTACAGAATGAAACATGTTCCTGTGGATATAAACTAAAAAACCTTGCTATGGATACTGTTTAAATTGTCCATTCGTGTAACGTGTTTTTCAAAGTAGAATGGTGGTGCAGTTTTCCAAAAAAGACTGTTATATTGCATTGTTATTGTCACACCTTTTAATGATTGCAAATGGGCATTAATCAAGAACAACCTGCAATGCTTTTCTGTTCTTTTTACCGCTCAACAGAAAAGCGTTCTGTGTCTTCTACGGAGTTCAAATCACTGCCAATGACTAGGATGAGCGCACATATTAAATCAGGATTAATCAGTGATTGATCCTAATCTTCCAAATCAGGTCAAGTAGAGCCCCTTGGACAGGGCTGAAACGTCATAGTCAGGGCCGCTGGACAGTGTCAGATTATAGTTTAGGATCGGATTACCACTGCTAATCCCATTAGACATGTTGTGCTTTAAATGGCTGCCAAACTGCTCTAAGCATGTGGAGAGAGTGGATCTATGGCGGCCTGTTATAGCAGAGTGAAATGTGAAAGAAATTGGAATTAAATAAAAATCCTTCAAGAGGTCTGATTGTGGATAGAAGTTATTACTAATTTAATATCATACTGGATATAATAAACATGTAAATTAGCTCGTGACATCAGAACCGTAATGGGCCAGCAACCGGAAATGGAGAAGAAGAAGAAGAAAAAAAATGACGATGACGAGTTGACTCCACCTCATGATGCCATTTAGCAACAGATGAGCAGCAGCAGAAGAAGAAGAAGAAAAATATCCCCGGCAGGCGCACGTTCTTTCTTTTTTTTGGCTTCCCGGGCAGCCGGAGACACGCGCGCGCACACCGCCGGCGGCGTCGCCCGCGCGCCCTAACGGCCTCCTCCTGACGGCGTAACGGGTCGGAAGGGTCGCGGTGCCTCCCTCGCTTGTCGCCCCGCAGCGCGGCCAGCGGTTTTCTCCTCTCTCCTTCCTCCACGTCGCGCGCGCGTGTGTGTGTGTGTGTGTGTTGCGGCTGGCAGAGAGACTTTCTCCCCCCCCGCCGCGGCATCGCCATGGACGTGCTGTGGCTGATTCCGCTGCTGCTGGTTCCGCTGCTGATGTGGAGCAGCGGCACGTTCGTTTTTTATTTCAAAAAGTGCTTCTACGTGGGCTGGATGATGGTGCTGGCGCTGCTGGCCATCCCCCTGTGCATGCTGAAAAGCGGGGGCAGAGACGTGGAGAACATGAGGTGAGTTTTGTTGTGCATAATAAATGTCGCTGCTGCTGCTGCCGCCCTCCCCTCGTCCCCCCCCCTCCCGGGTGCCGCCTGACAGCTAGCCGACGCTAGCATGCTAGCTGGCTGCTAGCCGCGGTTCCCGGGGAATCTTTCTTCTTTCTTTTAACGCGTGGCCTGTAACACGTACGGGCGGCGTGACTTCGGCGAGTTTCCCACCCTACCAACGTGTCTGACATTTAAACAAAGAATACAAACTAATAACGAGGAATAAACGTGATCCGGAGGGATGTCACACGTATGCTAACGTTAGCCCCCGTTGACACCCGGATGCCGTTAGCCGAGGTGAAGAATGCTAACATTCATCGTAGCTAGCCTCGGGTAACGGTCGCCCCCCCCCCACCGTCCGCTAACTTGTGCTCATTAACGTTGGCCGAGTTGGACGTGGTGTCCGCGTTAAGTCGGTCCGCCCCCCCCGGGACGTCGCAACAAGGCTGCCGTTGTCCCTGCGGGGACCCGTGACGGCATTCATTACGGTGGCAGCGGTGTCACGTTGTGTGTTATTCAATTTTAAACAACTGAAAGTAACGCGTTCAATGAAGTCTGGCGTGGAATGTGTCACGTTTTTTTTTTTTTATCAGTTCCAACACGAGGAAGTCTAATCAGAAATATGATCGACGTTATAACCGCATCCGATCATGTTCTAAAAGTAAGGAAAGCACAAGTACCCTAAAAAGGACCGCACGTGACTAAATGTACTCCTTTACCTTTCAACATATAAACGTTACATATTCACAGACTCTACTGGTCACTGGTTATTACGGGATATTGACACGTTGACCGAACCACGTGTCACTTTAGACCCAACACGCGCACACTGATCAGGTCAACTGATACCTGTTAGGCCTCCAGAGTCAGTGTTCACTTTGTAGTTGGGGGGAGGGGGTGTTCCTGTTGTTGTGGTTAAACATAGTCGGGCAGGATTGATTCTAGGACACCAATCACTGCGCTCAAGTGATTACCCCGAAGAGACGGCTGCCAAACGGCGAGATCCTCTGTGATTAGAGTTGGGTTACTGGATAGTCATCGGGCCCAGTGCACAACCCCGCAGCCTCGATCTGCTGACAGCGGAGATCGCTGATCCCGTAATAACGGTTTCTCAGGCGCGTCAGCCCGCGGTGTCGTGTTGCACCCGTGTGCCATTCTGTGGGGCTCAAAGGTCCTCTGGACCTGTTGACTGTGACAAAGCGACTGTGAATCGGGGTCGGGAACCTGCGCGCGGACTGAACGCTGTGATCCATCAAGGGCGGGAATGTTGCCGTCCGACACAAAGGCCTGAATTCAGGGCGTTCGACGGTTTGCTTCACAGCTGACTCGGCCGACTTGGACGCGACACAGTGAACTATGACAGACCTCCGCATTGTGACAAGAATCCGTCCCTGCTCACGTTGCACATGCATTTCCCAGAACTCTGTGGTAGCCTTTCAGTTTGTTGCTCGTGGTCCTAAATGGCATCTCCCGGCAAGAGAGGTTTACTTTTCTCTTCCCGCTCCCAAGGCTTAACGTCAGTGGGAGACTCAGACTCCCATTGTTCTCTCCTATTGTTTGACTAGGAAGTAATGTTCTCCCTCTGCTGAGTGACTGACTTTTTAAGTGCCACAGAGATTGAACCACACATTTCTCCCCTCCCTGCCTTTCTGAATGAATTAATCTTCCACTATGTCATCGTTACCATGTGACCTTGTAATCAATCGCTCTCTTGACCTTTAGCCCCCAGTAGCTGCGGTGGTACTTTGGCACGATACTAGTAAGGCTCAATTGTTTAACCTGAGTGCGACCAGATTGAGTTGAATTTATGCTTGAAACAAATTACCCTGAATGTCATTATGTGGTCCGTAGGGAAATGTACTTACTTAGACTGATAGGGAAATGAACCACAGGAAGCCTTTTGGATGCGCCATAAAAAGACTCTGCCATTTCCTTCCCCTTGAACAATCTAACCAATGCTGCAACACTGGCAGTCGTTGCGTAACCAGTGGCTTTTGCACTTGACTGAGTGTGTTGTCACTGGCGTGTCGAAAGATCACCTAAAGACTGTGTTCTGGTTCAAAGGTTAAACTCATTTTACCATAGATTGCAGAAGGAAACGAGCGCTCATGTCTGATTTTAAAATTGTGAGCGTTACCTTTTTGATATTTTCAGTAGAAATCCCTTTTTGATTTGATTTGATAAATAAAAGGTACGACCATTTCCGATGCTGGTTGTTCATTTCACAGCCCGTCTTACAAAAAGGAAAGTACCTCGAATCACAAAACATGGACGCACAGTATAGAAAGTTACGGAGACTCATCAGCTAAGATGTTGCTTCTGTGACTCTGGTCAACACATTATCATTCTATTCTATTTTCAGGGTTATTTATTGACCATGGCTTCCAGTCTGTGAGCTCACCTGTTTCACAACAGGCCCCCTGCCCCCCCTCTCACCCTGCCCCCCTGTTGCTTGTGAGGCGAGGAAAGGAAATCAATTCATTGATCGATCCACAGGCCTGCAAACGCCGCTGGTTTCTTTCCACGGAACGCAGTTGAAACTATTTTGGTTTGATAAATGTCTGCTGCCCGTCCGCTCCTCTCCCACGGGGGGGGGGGGGGGGGGCTTATGACATTTGCCGGAAACTACTTTCTATATTTAATTTCCTCAACTCGAAAAACATGCGAATCAGACCCGTGTGATTGAATCTCGCCATCCACAGCTAAGAGCACTTCAGCTGCCTTTCCTTGGACATTGCTGTTTTTGTGGTATGCGCCTCAATCACAGGCCACATGGATTCCCTACAAGACGCTTTGATTTCAGAATTAAGACGTTCTAGTTTAGTTTTAGTTCAGCTAGCGGAGCTGCAGGCTGTAGAGGAACTTCTTCTCGTAGCGCGCGCTCTCCTGACGTGCGTCCGCGGAACATCGTGGAATCAGTAATTAGCTGCTGCTCCAACAGAATAAGCATCGTTTTAATGAGATTTCACGGACTGAGTTCTTTGCTCTTAGAGAGGAGGTCTGTCCTCCAGCTTTAACTCTGTGGTTAATTCCCTTCACGGCTCGCTGCTCATTTCAGCTTGTAGTCATTTCGACTTCCAGCGCTGTCCCAGGCAACTTACAAATATCCAAACTGCAAACAATTATTGTCCCCCCCCCAAGGCCCTGGTGGACAACAGCACTTCCTCAGTGCGTCGTTTGCTGAAGGAGAATTATTCCTCAGATAATCCCATAAAGCGCAGTAGTTTCCCAGCAGTCTGGTAGGATCTCGGGGCCGATTAGGTCGAGGCTGAGAAGTGGAGCACTAGTGTGGCCCATCGGCGTTCAGACTTTATAAATAAGCTGCCAAACGGCGTGTTTGAGTTGGAAAGTGACTCGATTGGGGACACGACACGGTTTGAGAAGTCTTATTGGGGCCAAAGGGAAGCTCCTGGAAGTTAATGCTGGATGAGAAAGGATCCCAATTGGTAGGAAGTGGAAGAATGAGCAGTTCGGGGCGTGAGTTTGTTTGGAATCACATCGAAACTCCTTCTAGTCAGGGCAGAGGTCACCGAGTTCACAGCTCTTATTGCTGGTGGTCGGGTGACATCTGTTCCAAAAGATAAAAACATGGGAAAACAAAGTCTGTGTGAAGATGTGATTTAAAAAAGAAAAAAAAACTTATGGTGTAAATATTGGACATGTGGCCAACTTTATATGAAATGGAACTAAAGTGGAGTTTGGGCACCAAAACTAAATGAATGCATCTTTGATATGGTACATTGTTGAGTTGTGTTCTCTGCAAAGAATTGGAATGTAACGTAATATTTTAGCTGGTGTCGATTAGATCTGATAGATCCTCACTGGGCAGCATCAGATATCAGGGGCAGGGGGGCGTTGTACCTTTTTCATTTTGTTTTTCTTTATTTTTATTAGTGTCAGCGGCAGATGGTTGGACATTCCTTCTCAAAGCTTATTGGAGCGTTCTCCTTCCTGCCGGCAATTGTTTAACTAACCAACCAAGAAACAAACAAACAACGCAATCGACCCGGCTCAGCGTTGATCCACCAGATGTCGTGTTTTCTTTAAACTGTCGGGATTGTGTGATTTAGGTCAAATGTTCAACATTCCAACTTTCATCCTCACAATGTTCTGAACGATAACCAGCAGGCTTCATGAATTCCATCATTGTCTCCAACCTTTTGATGCAGGATTCTGGTTAATGACACGTAGCCCGCTGCTCTCGCGTGACTGAGAGTAACTTTTTATTAAGGACTGTAATCCCCCTCTTCCTCCTCTCAGGATCATCCGCGTCCTGGTTCGTCATGTGAAGTATTTCCTGGGCCTTCGCTTCGACGTGAGCGGCTGGGAGCATCTGCAGACTGAGGGGCCGTACGTCATCATCTCCAACCACCAGAGCTCCCTGGACGTGTTGGGTGAGTGCTGAGGAGCCGTAATCCACTGTTTCACTTATTTGAGATCGGTTTCAGCATAATTCAATCATTGGTGTCAAAGGGAGAGTCGCATGTTGAGGCAGTTTGGAAATGCAGCCAGTGATTTCTGGTTTTAAAATTCCGACAAAGTATTTGTTAACAGCGATAATGACGGCAGACGCTTGTGCAAACTGCAGCCTTTACTCCAGTTTCTGTTGTTCTGACCAGATTAAAGGGCTGGGCGCCATCACTGGAGATAACGATCAATAAAGGGGTATCTTTCTTTCTCCCGGCATCAGATTAATGGCATATAAATATTTATACGCAGACTTTATACTGTACTTGATAACATCCAGGTTTGTACAGGGCCCTGGAGAGATGAACTGTTTGTTATTTTAACCTCCCCCCCCCCCCCCTTGATGGTGGAGCTGGAATCCGCCTACGTGATTTTGAACAAAACAAAAACAATACAGATTTTCATTCTATTCACCGTGGGATCGCCCTTTTTTTTCTCAGGCCTGATGGAGATCTTACCAGACCGCTGCACCATGATCGCCAAGAAGGAGCTGGTCTACGCCGGCACGGTGGGTCTCATCTGCTGGCTGGGCGGCATCGTCTTCATCAACCGCAAGAAGACCAGCGACGCCAAGAGCGTCATGGCCGAGGCGGCACAAACCATGCTGGACCAGCAGGTGAGGCGGCGTCCGTGCTGACGGAAGGAGCCGTAATGTAACCCGTCACATTGGATGATTCAATCGCTGTTTTTCCCATGTCCTTCTGACCTCCACAGATTCGTCTGTGGGTTTTCCCAGAGGGAACCCGAAACCAGAAAGAAGACCTGCTGCCCTTCAAGAAAGGGGCTTTCCACCTGGCGGTGCAGGCACAGGTGAGCCCTTTACCTCTGACCTCGCTAAAACCCACCTGTGTACCGAGGTGGAGCAGCTCTCCGTCACCACCGCCTACGTACGCACGGCGAGTCAGACTTCCTCGTCCCGTTCACTCATTCGTCCACGCCAGCAGGAAGGGTTCGTGTGCCACCTAAAGGAGGAGTAGTGATGGCAGCATGCTGCCGATTGCAGCCACACGGGGGCGCCAGCCGCCTAATGCGGCACAAGGCAACGTGATGATAGAATCATGTTTACTGTGGAGCGGAGCAAGGAATGCGTTCTAATGCTCCAGAATAGTTTTGGGCCGTCTGGGCACTTTCATCGTGATATTTCCGTCTCGCCTTTGTGGCTAAGCAATGTAACCCCCGCCCCGCCCCCTCCCCCTCAAGTCCACATGCCAAAGGGTTTTAAATGATTTTAGCAAACACAGAGCGGCTCCAGAGTAATTGGCAGCGTTTACGTCTCTCTCTCTCCTGGTAAATGCAGGTGGGAGGTCTCTTTTCTTGAGTTGACGTTTTTTTGTAGCGTGCACACACACACACACACACACTCTCTCTTTGGGCCGTCAGGTGGAATGAATTAAAAAAAACATTGTTGAATGCATCTGGCCAGGAACCGCGACTTGTTTGGCCCCAGGCAGCGATGTTGTGGTGTGTTTGTAACGTGTGAGCGCATTCCTCTTTTTTTTGTTACGTGCTGCTGAAGATTGATATCGGTTTATTACAAAACCCATTTTCTATAAGGCTCCACAGGGTTTTAAATGTAAGTGAGAGGCGCTGACGACCGTCTGTTTAACAGTGTTCCATCTTGTCTTTCAGGTGCCCATCATACCCGTCGTTTTTTCCTCCTACCGCAACTTCTACCTACGGAAGGAAAAGCGGTTCAACTCGGGTAACTCGACTGTCCTTTCGTTCTTCTTCTTTCACTTTAAGCAGAAAAAAAACAAAAAGCCACTTGTTCCCTTGGAGGTCTGATGGAGGTTTTGTGCCGTCCACAGGGACCGTCCGGTTGAGGATCCTCCCAAAGATCGAGACGAAGGGAATGACGTCCGACGACATTTCATCCCTCTGCGACAAATCCTTCGACCTGATGCAAGCCGCCTTCCGTGAGCGTCTCCGACTTCAAACGCACGAGCAACGGGCCGTCGAAGGCGCTGAACATTCGCCGCGCTCCCGCCTCCTTTTTCCTCCCACGTCCCCGTCTGAGACTTGTCTGCCCCGCCCCCCAGTCCCCCTCCCCGCTCCTCCCCCTCTGCTTTCCCCCAGGTTTCCCATTGCCTGGCCTTGTCATGAAATCTCTTCTTGTCTAGTGGACGCCTGGTCGGGTCGGCCTCTGGCCCGACCAGTCAGCGCAGTCTGTCCCGACCCTCACTGTGCCTGCAGCAGCAGCAGCACCTGCACCACCACCTCCTCCACCTCCACCAGCAGCAGCGCTGCTCTGCAGGCCGTGAGCGGAATGACGGACGGCCGTATAGATGCGTGCTGTTCTTCATGCATGACGGAGGGCTCTGGCCACCACCAGTTTTTGCTTTGCTTCCTGCCTTTTTAATTCTTTTTTTTTTATTATAATCATTTCTTTTCTCCACCTTCCACCTCCTTGGCTTTTCTTTGTGTCACCTTTTCATCTCCTGCTGCTGTTATTTGAGCCCCGGACAAACAAAAAAACATGCACAAAAAAACATGCGCAAATGCATTCAAAGTGCTCCACCTCTTTCCTTTCTTCCTTCCTTCCTTTCCTTTTTGTGTGCTCTCTCTCTCCCTTTTTCTCCATTCCAGTCTCTTGCCTAAAGACGAAAGTGGTAGAGGTGAGGGGTCGACCGCGGGCTTCTAGGGTCCCGTCGCTATGAATTCTAGTGTGTGTCCATGTTGGCTCTTCAAGCCGGTGACCAATCGCTCCAAGACCCACTTCATGATGTCAGCAAGCGGGGAATTCCAGTTTACAAGAAGCCGTGTGTAACAATAGCGCCCATCTGTACTGAATTACCGGGTTTCCGAGGACTGATGTTTTTTTTCAATGTTGTGCATTGTGGGTGTATCGTATGCATTCAGTCGGTTCCTCTCCAAAAGGTTCCAAAGATCCAGCGTGCAGCACGGAAGAGCCTCTTCTCGCCGTGTGTTTGCTTTATATTTATTACATCAGATAAACTTGTTTTTGCTATTTGTTTTGTTTTCCGGTGGCTTCACAGGTGAACCGATTTGTAAGGTGTGTCAAAAAGTGATTTCATGCTGTGCGATGTCCAACTGTTTCAAGCATTACTGTTCCAAAGTGCGAGCGACCTGCTGTGCCATGACCAGTGAAGGCTCCCTCGCTGTGACCTGTGCCCCGTCAACAAGGGCCCTCTCATAGTTGGGGGGGGGGGGGGAGAAAGTTGTGTAGAATCATGAGACGGTTGTCGGGCTTGAAGTGATTTGTTCAGATTAACTGAAAGGTTCACTAATTACTAGCAAACCTGTAATATGTTTTAGTCCACAGTGTTTATTTTTCCATTAGCAACATGAAAGTGAATAACTGGGATCAAGCTACGGCGAAACCTCACGGAAGAATAAGCGTTGTGGACATTTTGCCTTAAGTTTGTTGTTTTCTGCTTCGTTAAATGTACAAAGACTCCTGACCGCGTAGAACCGGCTGAACTGTTTCAGTTTACATCCAGGTCTTCAACTTCACGTTGCTCGCTGCCTTTATACGGTTTGCCAAATCCTTAATTTTGCCGCTTTTGCTCCTCAAACAGTGTTTCGGCATTCAGAACATTTGTGTGCAACTAATTACGTTTTCTCCTTTTAGTAAATGAACGCGGGATGTTGCGTCTTCACGGAAATGTATTCAGACTATGAAATGCTAAATTGACACAAGCGGAGAGTCTCGTATTGAACAGATACTAGTATTAAAACTAAACTCTGTTTAGTTCTTTTCTTAGTTTGATTATATTTATTTTTTATCTGGGAGAGGAAGCTTTGCAGTCAATGGTTTAAATGTTATAAAGTACTTTACCAAATTTATTTCTTCTCAGATATTAGTTCTACAACAGAAAGTTTGCTCCCGAGGTGTTTTACCCGTTTCATTTCAATCCCTTTGTCATTTTGTAATACAAATGTGTGATTTCTAAGCTTTACGTCATGAGCTTTGACCGGTGGAGAACAAGCTCGACCGTGCTGGTTGATTTTTGGGCAATTGTTTACGAACTACGATAACTGTCAAATGAAATCTTCTTGACCCTAATAAAGCACTTTTCATGCTGAGTTTGGGAGGGAAAAAAAAAAGAACAAGGACGTTCAAGTTTTCTCAGATTTTCACCAAAGCCATTAAAAGTGTAATTGGTGGGAGCTTTACATGGATACGAGAGACCGAGCGCACATCCTGCAGAGCCGAGTGTGTGTGTGTGTGTGTGTGTGTGTGTGTGGTCCTTTACTGAATGTGTGCGTCATGACGTACGCACACATGGTAGAGACGGCCGTTCTAGTATTTGGTTAATATTGACGATGTAGTGTTATTGATTTCACCTTTTCTGGGTAAATGTGAATGCCTTGCAAAAGAATAAATAAAAAAACGATTATTTTCTTTCTTAAGGGGCCGTGCACTGAAATTCCTGTTTATCCTCTGATATCAGTCACTGGTGGAAGGTCACTAAGCGACAGGTACATTAAGTATTTTTCATTTTCTGCTGCTTTGATATTAACAAGGAAAAGGTGTCTTGTGGGAATCATGTAAACAATAAGAAGGTTCAGATTATTTACATAGTTTGGTTCTTAGAAGTCATTTTCCTCTCTAGTCCTTGTGGTGAAAATGACACCAGACTTCATTATAGGACATCATGATTATCACACATTGTTTTATTAAGGTATATCTGTATTATGAGCATCCTGCTGATCAAATGCACATACTAAAATATGCACAATGTAGTGTTGATCCTATATACTGTGTTATACTTTATATATGTGTATACTGCATGCTGTACATGAGTGAGACAAACGGGAGATGTCCAACGGTGTGTCTCAGCTTCATGGAGACGTTGTCTCATCTCACATCAGTCGTGTTTACACAAGTCTGCACTTGCCACGATTATTCAGTAATTCTTTCATATTAAGAAGCACACAAGGGGGTTTTGATTAAGACTTTTTATTAAAAAATGTTACAAAACTAGGTAAAAATGTCAATTGGAGCACAGATGAAAAAAAAAAACGAGACGTAATCATAATTTAAATAGATAAATACAGATGTGCACGTCGGCCCCCGGGACAGTTAGGGCTTCACACGGGAGGACACAGCTGCACGGACGCGAAAAACAAACACACAGAAACAAAGTGTCCAGTTTGACCTTTGACCCTCACTGGGTGTGATTCAGATGTTACAGGGACGACGCGATGCTGAAACTGTCGCTGCCACCGGCGCCGTTACACTAATTGAGATATTTGACGGTGATTCAACGAGAGAAAATGAAACGAGGCCGTTTGGAAACGGTGAAAATCACAAATGACGATCTGTGCGATGATTGCGTCGGCTTCTTAAAAAGGGTCAGCCATCTTGGTGCAACGCGTACAATCTCTATCAGGTTCGTGTCTTTATTATTATTATTATTATTATTATGCAGGTTTCGGTGGTTTGGCGGCTAATTCTCCTGACAAGAACCTGTGGGAGAGAAGAGTGTAAAGTTACAACCATGTAGAGGATGCCAGGATGTTAAAACAGTTGTAAAAGTCGTGAAGGTTGGTTGGATAAACATCTACATGCTACTTAATAGTCGTTTTTGTCACTTTTAAGCAATGAAAGGTGTATCGATCAAAGTAATCATTTCACGTTTGCTTTGATTGTATCACCAAACTAACTTAGCTGAAAAAATGTTAACGTCACGTTAGTCACACGATTTTATGTTATTGGATTTTAATTAATAGCTTATATCTGCATTACAGACAGTTGTTGCAGTCGGGCTGTCACACAGTCTCTGATCTCTCTTCTTTTGCAAAAGTTCGAGAAAAAGTCTTCCACCGCTGGAAGGCCCCTCACATGTGCCGATGCGCTCCTCCAGGAAGCCGATCTGCTCGCTGAGGGAGTCGATGCGGTCCAGCTGCTGGAAGGAGTGGGACAGCAGGGTGGTTTTCTCCGACCAGCCCTCGTCCAGCGACAGGGGGAAGAAGCTGCTGACGGGGGCCAAGACCAGCTGCAGCTTCTGCACAGAGGGGCACACAGGCGGGGGGGGGCATTAAAACCCAAACATTGATAGATAAACTGTGGCACCTGAAGCATAATTACACTTCTCCGACAAGTCCTCTTTTTTGAAGATTTGATAAGGACCAGGTTCGAGGTTTTAGAGCACGTGGCTTTGATTTCTCTGTGCGTGAGTTTTTCTCGCGCACCTTTTCCAGGAGCTCGACTCTGTTCCTCAGGCTCTGTACCTCCTCCGTCACATTCTCCACCTGGCCGAACCCTTCACCTGTACAGAACCACACAAGCACAGAGGAGCACATCAGAGGCCGTGTGTTGAATCGGGGAGGAGGGGGGGGGCATGGATCAGAGGGATCTAGACTTTATAACACATTTGATTCCCTCGAGCGTCCTGCCCTCGTCTGTCCGTCCCCTCCGATGTCCAGGGGGAGCAGACAGGACCCAGATGCTAAAACGGGAGACCTCGTCTAGAATGCGTCAATCTTTCCAGAATGTGTCCTCTTCCAGAGACAAGAATGAAGTTCAGAAACTGGTTAACAGGAATAATGTGTAGGAGGGGGTGAAGGGAGAGAAGACCCCCCAGCAGGACAGGAGTGGAGGGAGCTGAATGAAGAATAATTTTTTTGGCCCAAGAGCGCACAAACGCTGTCCAACACTCCTCCACAGCAGCTCGGCACAGTGGGAGCGACGATCTGAGAGCCGAGCGCCAAAACTGAGCATGAAACTCCCAGAAAAACCCTTCCGAGCGGAGAGAGCTGTCTTCTTTTGGGTTTTTCCCCCCCCCCCCCCCTTCCCCCCCCACTCAAATTTCTCTCTGCGTTTGTCCTTTTTGCTGACTCAGGCATGGGAGTAAAACGATCTCATTTCCGCTCACAGAAACCCTGATAAATAACGTTTCGGGGCCAATTTTACGTTACGTTACATTCGGCGAGCATCAGCGGAAAAGAGTGTGCGGTTTCATGTTGCATAAATTCTAAAAAAGAAAACATAACGCAACATAGAAGAGCAATCCAAAAGGAATGTCTGGGGGTCAGCGACTGCACATGTAGACATGGAATGAGGGGGGGGGGGTGTTATTTTGTTGCTAGGATACAGGAAGCACACACGAAAACCTACTATTTCACGGCGAGAGACGACGTTGCAACATCCTCAAGAGCAACTAATGGAGTGTGCAGGTTAAAAATATGTCCCATCGGGGGGGCAGATGTTTTCTTTTCTCAGAAGGGCCCCCGGGAGTCATTTACAGAGACCAAAGTGGTCCCGGCGAGAGACACAGGACATCTGTCTGGAGTCGGCGCCAGTCGCAGTGCATTATTACTCACGGTACGAGTTGAGAGTGGCATAGCGCGTACCAAAAGTAATAATGGGCCGCGAGGCTGGCTGTGTTTCTTTGCCCCTCTGCGCTCCGGGGGACGCTGCTGCTGCTGCTGCTGGCGGGAAGACACAACGTGACGCCGGGTGGAGGCTTCTGTGATTTACCTGCGTCCGCGTGACCCCCCACCGTAGCCTGGCTGGTCTGAGCGGGAGGAGGAGGAGGAGGAGGAGGAGGAGCAGTCGGGGGAGGAGGAAGGCTTTGACAGGAACGTCCATCTCCAGCAAGTCCGAAGCCGTCTCTGCACGCACACCGATAGCTGCCAGCTGTGTTCAGGCACATCTGGGCGCACGGCCGCTGCTCACCACACTCGTCCACGTCTGAGGAGCACAAAGGAAAAGGCTCCTGTGTTTGTGCACCGCGTCCCGCTGTGGTTTTGCAGGTCAACATGTGTGTGTGTGTCTACCTGTTTGGCATTGGTGCCCCTTCCAGCCCAGCGGACACGTACACTGGTTGGGTCTCAAGCAGGTACCTCCATTCACACAGGGTTGTCCACACACAGCTGTCGGAGGACGTTGAGAGGAAGGATTCAGCATTTGGGGAACTATGTGCATTTGCTGCCTTGCTAATGGTCAAGTTCAGATAATCGAAAGCTCTCATGTCTGTGTGCTAAGTAGCTTTTGTTTAAGCGGGACAAAAAAACACAATATAAAATAAACCATTTCTGCTTTTATGGGGAGTTAAGTGCTGCACTGTTTCTTGGCCCCGGCAGCCGTGACTTTCCACTGGTCTCAGCCCAGAAAATACACAACTTGTTTTTACACATCAGTTTATAAAACTGCAAAACTTCAGTCGTCATGCTAAGCTAAGCTAACCGTCTCCTCTCGGCAACAAGGTGAATGCACACGCCAACACACACACACAAAAAGATGCAGGAGAAGCATCTGCGATGGATCCCTGCAGGTTACCTTGGTTGCAGTTGTGGGAGTGAAACCTCCGCCAGCCGGGGCAGCACTCGGAGGGGAGGTGCGAGGTGGGTGCCGCTCTGCTCACCTGGCGGTACGCCACCGAGTACACGGTCCTGAGGAGACAAAACGCAGACGCCCACGGTTTTCTGGTTGTTCATCATGCTGTCATCGCCGCCGCCCCCACACACACACACACACACACACACACGTCTGTGTGGTCGATGTGTTCTGTCGGACTGAGCGAACTGCGGTTGAGGAAATGGGAAATTGGTGGGAAGCTGAAAAACCAGTGACCGCTGACAAGAGCGTCAGATTTTTTTTTTTTTTAAGCGAGATGTTCTGAGACTCTGGTTTGGTTTGCAAGGAGAAATACAAGCTGATAAAACTCGAGGCTGGCGCTCAAAAACAAAGTGAGAGCGACGATGGAGGATCACCGGAGGCCTGCGAATTCTCCGAGGCCGCCACCGCAGAATCGGCAAAGGATCCCCAAAAAACTGAAACGCGGTGGTGGGGAAAGAGTTAAAAATGAAAAATGTTTAAGGGGGACTCAAAGGCACCGGAGCCGGAGAGAGGGGTTGAGAATGCGCAAGTGTGGAGGGGAGATGTGGTCCAAGATAAACACGGCCACGGTCTCTGTGGGCCGGCAGCTCACTTCCCGTAGTTACACAAAGCACTCGATATTTAGATTCCGCCCAAATATGTGGCATCGTGACCCACGTGTGTTTGCGTGTGTGGGAGAAGACCTCCGTTTGTTGCGTGAGTGCACGTCTCAACCGTTTCCCCTTCGTAAACACGCCATGCGCGGCTCACCCCCCTCAATTAAATAAAGCCTGTGTCTTGTAACGGCTTAATTGCGCCGCTGTCTCCCTCCCCGCGTGCACGCCGGACCGCTGTCCCCCCCCCAACCCACCGACGGGAATCGATTCGCTTCTCGTTTGCCTCACTTGTACGTGCTGCAGAGGCGATGCCCCTGGCAAAGGGTGATGTAGGGCTTGTGCACCGGCCTGACGTATGACTCCGTTGCCGTGGCGACGCTGTGACGGAGGTCTCGGCCGCACACCCTCCTCCTGCGGAAAGGGAGAGAAAAGGTTGATCGAAACGTTAACGCTTGAAACAGCGACTTGGGGCCCGCGCGGTGGCGTCTGAGATGAGCTGGATTCGGGGCCGAGAAGCGGCGCTTAGGGCCCGCGAGAAAAGCTCCTCGTGAGGAGCCTTGAAGCTGTCACCCGTCGCCAGGAGTGACGTGTGTCCTAATTGCTCCTGACTGACCCATGAAATCCCTCCCGAATGTGTCACAGTTTAGAGCTGATCCTTGACCCCTGTGGCTCCACTTGACCTCTCGTTTGGCGCTTCGGTTTATTTCGGTCTCTGTGAAAATCAACTGAAAATAACAAGATGAGCCCGCAGACTCCCCCCCCCATAATGCCGCGCGCCTAATAGTCTGTGACCTCAGCGTGCAGCTTTGGCCCTCTCGAGATGTTTAAACGTCATTCAACCAAATCTGTACACATTCGCAGTGAGTGAAAGTGGCCTTGAACAAACAGGTCTGAAGGGCGGCTGAAGCGAGAGATCTGTAGCCGCTCTGATCAAACGACGGGGCGCGACAAACACAGGAAGCGAGCCGTTACCCGTGGCGACCGAGGAACTGCGGCGTGCCCATCACGTGGAGGACGAGGGAGGAGAGAAGCAGCGCTCGGTACATCGTCTTCCTCTTTTCCCACGTTCCCTCGCTCGCTCTCTCAGACTCTTCTTCTCCGCTGCGGTCTGAGGGAAGAGGAGGGGAGGGGTGATGAGGGAAGGGGGCGTAGCCAAAGTCTCCCCCACGCTGTGTGTGTGTGTGTGTGTGTGTGTGTGTACCTCTTCCTCCAGGTCTACTCCAGCTACCTGCACGGAGAAGAAAGAAAATGACGTATTTAAGATTTGTTAACCAAACAAATAAAGTATCTCACGTTCTTCTGCTCGTTCTATCGAAACATTCAAAAAGTTTCACATGATCAGATGTTTGTTTTTTAACATTCCTCACTATGCGTCCATAGTGGGTCATAAAACAAGAGTTTTGGGGGGTGAAGGGGGACTTTTAGTAAACAATTCTCATGACCAAAAGCAGAGTTGCTACTGATGCATTGTTGTAGAAGCCCAAATGGTCGGCTTGCTCTCATCTACGCGCGGGTTGAACTCTCTCTGACCTTCACCGTGGACTCTTTGTTCCATACTGCACCGGATTAGAAGAAGGCCAAAGATGTTGTAGAGAGAGCGCCGGTCCGCACGGACCTGCTCCCGCTGCAAAACGCTATCCTGCAGCCACCTTCTTATCGGACCAGACACTAAACCCATGGGAATTCTCCACCCGGGGCCTTTAAAGTCAGCGGGTTTAACGGGAAAGTCCTGGGTTGCAGCGCCGGGGATGCTAAGCCCCGGTTGACAGCCTGGATGTCTCTCTGATCCCCCCCTCCCCCCCGCTGGCTTTGTGCCTAGACGCAGGGCCTGCTGATCTAAAGCCTGGGTGTTCATTCACAAATCAAAAGGTAGGTGTGACCCTGGACGCAGCAGGGGGGAGATGAAGGTGTGCAGATGTTTGACAAAAAAACAAAACATAACATTGGCGGTGAGGAAGGTGCTCCGGGGCAAAAGACGTTACTACTTTTTTACTACTTTTTGATTATGAGGCTGTCAAATATTAAAAACACACTCTGCATGGGAGACATGAAGTAAATTGCCAACACGTCTATAGAAGGAAAGTTCCAACCACTCTGCAAACACTGGAGCCGGACATCAATCAAGTCATCCTAAATAGTTCTTGTATTGGTTTTGCCAAACGTCTGCACTTTAAATGAAATACCATCCATAGAAAAAAATGGATGCTTGTGATCTAAGTGAAGGGACCACGTGGTTGCATCTGCATCCTGTTCTTCTCATCAATTGTCATCGATCGTTTCCCGCTGACACATCGGGAGCGATTTGAGCGGACGCGGTTCTCGCCTTCGCCGCCAGAGGGCGCTGATCCACAGATCCGCGTCCCTCCAATATACACACAGCTACACGCACGCAGAACTCTACACGCTCACGTATTAATACGGATGACTCCACGTATTTAGGAGTTAAACCAAATACCCTGCACGGGAAAACGACACACGCACACACACGCAAAGACAATCCCATCACAAGCCGATATATCAAGGCGCGCATGCATGGGTATAAAATGAATAATCACAAACCGTGTAATAAATAATCAGCTTTTCCTAAAATTAGAACACAAACGCAGTCCCGCGCCGCAGGGAGCGAAGACAAAGTTATTCCCCTTATATTCCGCTGGTGAGGTCTTTAAATAAAGTCCAGTGATGGAACTCCGCTACTAGTCAGGTTTCTCCTGCAGCCCGGACTGTCAGGGAGCATGCGGGGAGAGGGGGGGGGGGGTTGATGGGAGAACCTCCTCCCACTCCTCCAGCTCGGTGTCCGGGTGCTCGGCTTGTCTGCATTACGGGGACCCGCGCGTGACGTCACCATACGGACTGGACGTTTCCCCCATTCATAAGCCTGCTGGAACTCTACCGAAGCCGTTGACGCGGCGGGCGGAGAGACCACGCGGACAGAATCAAAGGGCGGCTTCCCCATTCGTCAAGTCCCGTCTTGAAACAACACTCAGGTACACGTGAGGCACATTGGCCATGCGTTTTGGGGACACTATTTCCGGCCCATAATTCATCATAATTCAAGTCATATATCTGAAATATGCTTTAGAGATTTAATTGTACATGTATTTCTTTAATTAAATTCTACAATAGACTTCCAATTGTTTATCTATAGGTAAATAGTTCTACATTTGACCGGCCTATAAACATGAACGACGCTATTAAGCCAAAAAGAAACGGTAACCCTTAAATTCAGTAGCAAGCAGCCATTCAGTAGGTCTTAGTTCAGCTCAGTTACTAGTTTAATTTTGTTTTTGTACGTTGTACAGTACACAATGTTGAACATTGCAGCTAATGAGTGAAAACATCAACAGAAATAAACATTTTGAAGGAAGAATCCCTCCAAAAAAAAACGAGACAGCTGCAAACCTGAACAAGGTCCTTCGAAAACGCGTTTTTAAATCAGTCTTACCGCCGCAGTAGGGGGTCGTCGGGTGCGTGTGCGCGCGCAGGCGGAGCTGCGGCCACGGGCACGAGCCGCGGCACCGGTGGCTTGGAGGACTCTTCCATGCTGCCGCTTCTTCTTTTGAAACTCGGCTCGCCGCTTTTTCAACTGGAAACCAAAAACCCTCTCGGTGGATCGGAGGTGCTCCCTGCGAGTCCCGAATGAAATGTCCTTCGGGCGTCTTTTCGGTTGCTTTTTATGCAGAGCTTCCTGTGGCACGCAGGAATTGGATGGACAATCCCAAACAGGACTTCCTGTGAGTGTTTGCCGCTGATAAAACCCCTCTCCTGCACAAACACTCCCCATCCTGCTCAAATCGCTTGGCGAATCTGATTTTGAAGCAGTGTTCTGTCCCCATTGTGGCGCAGACCTCTTCAAGTGGGCCTCCAGACCCCCACCCCAACATCCCAACTGCACGACCCCTTCTGCTGCTTCTGCAGCCCACAGAGAGACCCAGAAATCAAAGGGATGGAGTGGAGGGCCGTTTATGCGGTTCCTCAACCTCACACACAGATAATTCCAAATACTTTCGTGGGAGATCAAATCTGTCAAATTGCAGCCCGTTGATGCTTGTTGCACGATAAGCAGGATACGTTTCTCTTTCCTCCTTCTGCTCATTAGGACTGACTGCAGATCAGTGGGGGAATGGTGAACCTGTAACAGTCGTTTGACACTTTCATGCACGCTGTAAAGCCCGTTTGGCGGGTTGCAAAACACATATTAAAGATTGTGTTCCCCCTGATATAAAAAAAAAACACAATGATCCAGCTTTTTAAAATGAAGACTGTCTCAACTTAAATTCATGGGCCCTATAAGGACATTGCAGAATTAGAACATTTATGTGATTTTCTATAATCCCCCAAATAATTCACATTGTGTTCCTCAGACGCTCACTGGGGCTGGATTAGCCTTGCAGGATTAAGTGCAAAGGCTCGGTTCTACAAACCGGTCTGTGTTCGTTTGAGGGCCTTCGCTGACTGAACGTGCGATGTCACCCTCCCCGCGTACAAAGACGGACCCTCTGGGCGACAACTACGAGGCTACGTGCTCAGGCACCACGGGAACACTTCGCTGAGGGGAGCACCAACACACACCGCGAGGCCGACTGCTTTACAATATAGGATGTCGATGTCGAGGCGCTGCTGTGTGTGTGTGTGTGTGTGAGGGAGGCTATATCTCTTAAGGAACCCGTTTCATTCTTTGAAATCAAGACTTGGCCGACCTGAGCACGTTTTCTGTGTTCCAGATTTGTCCCAGAAAAGAAGATGCGGGAGGTGGGACCCGACTGAAGCGAGGCAGCACTTCCTCTCCGAGAGGAAACAGGAAAAGGCTGGGGGAGCGAGATTCGGGAGGCTGCACCCTTGGAACAATAAAAATCTCACTTTGACAGGAAAACGGATCTGCGTCAGAGAGGGCCTGACGGAGTTCGCCGGAGGGCAGCGGCGGTGACCCTGGATGGGGCAACACAACGAGGGCAGCTGTGCCCAGCAACGACTCTCAAACGAACTGCATGTGAACACACAGATTCACTGTAACCAGTGTGCAGATATGTGTGGTAGGCGTGCATCTGTAGCAGCGTGCAGATGTTTTCTAATGTCTCCGCGGACAATAGCCCCGTTGTGTTTGTGCGTGAATCTGTGCGCGTGATGCTTTGATTGGTCGCTTCAGATTCATGGTCCGTCATCAAAAGATAGCGGAGAGGAACAAATAATATCACAAGGTTTATTGAGGTGTTGAGTCGCCACCGGCCTTCCGATCACCTTCAGTGGTTCTAGTGAATAGTGATCAGTGGTCAGGGTTCTTCTCGAGGTGGAACTCCGACTGATGCACAGACTGCTGACGAAAATGTTCTCTGACCGGTTGCTTTCTTTCCCTTCTTGTTTTTCTATACTTTCAGAGCAGAGGTGTTGCATCGCGGTGCAGCATCATCGAGGTAAACAATAGGATGATCGAGGTAAGCAATAGGATGATCGAGGTAAACAATAGGATGATCGAGGTAAACAATAGGATGATCGAGGTAAGCAATAGGATGATCGAGGTAAACAATAGGATGATCGAGGTAAACAATAGGATGATCGAGGTAAACAATAGGATGATCGAGGTAAACAATAGGATGGGTCATTTCTTCAGTCATTAGCTCACTGCAGAGGTTCTTATTAACACCGCCTTTGACTTACCGCTCAACTGTTGTCATGGAAACACCCGCCCAGGGGTTTGAAACTTGCTCAATAACGGTTTGTCTTCTTTTGAAAAATGGGGGGAAAATATGCACAGTAGCCGTAGCATCATTATAGTTTATATTTCCCTCAGTTTAGTTTTAAACGTGCTTTTCTTTCCGATCTCAATGTTGTGCGATTGTGTTTGCGGTGGGTACGACAACATGCGTACAGCCTCACCCACCACCGGATGTCCTGCACAGCGCCACTGCCGCACCATCGTTTATGCACCGGGTTTATGGCCTGTGCTGAATCACAGGTGAGAGACGGGACGGAGACGGAGGGTGCAGGCGTGCGTCTCGCCTCCAAACGGTTTCCACGCACGGCGGGCCAAACAGGACGTCCTGTTGTCCAAGGCCCGCCACCAATCCCGTCGCACCCGGCGGCGCCCGGCGGGGGCCGAGGCACGCAGGCACTCATCCCCAGGCCTCCTGGATTTGAAAATACTTTCTTCTGATGCTTTTGGCTCTTCCTGTGCTCCGCTTCGACAGCCAGAGGGGGTTTCAAAATACATATTTAAAAAATGACGCCGTGGAATTCCAAAACCACGAAATACCCTTGACTAATCATTTAACGTGCCAGCGTGCGGTGCGACGCTCCTCTGGGCGGCCTCTCCTCCGTACGGCGTTTCCGTGGCGCTCCTTGTCAGTCTGTCATGGACACTGTGGAGGGATTAGGGAGTTTATACACATTCCACTCAAGTCTGCGCCTCCCCAAAACACACGTGCCGGTGCGACGGGGCTCATTTCGACGCTGCCGCTCGGAGGCCCGGCGTTTGGAACGAGTGGCCGTGACGGCTGCGCCGCAGCAACGTCTCGCCGTGTTGAACGTGGACGCTCAAGACGTTGACTGCAGCCACTTCCACCGCGATTGAACGTTGTTTCCCCTCCACGCAATAAACGCAAACATCCAGCGCCTCGACGCCGAGGCGACGCAGCACAGGACGCTGTTACGCGAAGAGTAGTGTGATAGTGTTTGGCTCGGACGTTCATCGTGGTATTTATAACTTTTTGGCATTCTATTTGAATGATGCATCGTTGGATATGATCGGTGGATTAGAATCCAAGAATAAGACCGACGGGGGAAGTGATACTGGCATGAGAGCGTCATTCATTTCAAAAGCGGTTAAAGAGACATGAAACAAACGTGAGTTTCGTCTAATGAAATACATTTGATATGAATGTACTCCAAAGAAATGGCAGGAAAAAGGAAAAAGTAGGGCATCATCAGCACACGTCGTCTTGGAACCATTGAAGTTCAGTCCACTTTTTTTTGCTTCCCTTTGCTGCTCGTGGATCCCCACGTGACCCTCTTAACCACTCGCTCTTCCCCGTCCATGTGTCTCTCCTCACCCGAGAGTCTGCTCTGAATAAAAGGCCCGACGTGAGAGTCCAGCAGGTCGATTTGATGGATTGTCGATGCATCCGATCCGGCGCGGCTCTGGTGACTGATGCTGAATGCAAGACGCCGCTTCAAAAGGGGCTGAGTGACATCAGGGTGGAGCGGGGAGCGGGGAGGCTTCTTTTCAGCCGGGTCAGCCATCTGTTACAGAGCTGCCCTCTGGGAGGGTACCGGTGCATTAGCACCAAGACCCCCACCCCAACACATCCACAGCGTCCTCTCTCCAATCCCTGCTAATCAATAAAACCTCTCTGCACATAAACACAAACATGCTTTATTCATTTTCCCAACGGTCAATAAAACAATTGTATTTGATGCGAATAATATATATATATAAATATAATGTCTAACCCGATTTCCCTGAAGCCCAATGGAAAATAACTTGTTTTGCCCAACCAAGGCACATCATTCTTTAGGAATCAGGAATCAGGAGCATTTATCGGCAAAGTATGTTAGACACACAAGAAATTAGACACGGCGGTTGCTGCATAGGGGAGACTTCGTCCACATGGCAACGTGATTGCATTTATGTGGCAGTCATTTGGAAAAGAGGGCAGCGGACGGCTCGTCTTTGCTGCTTCTTCTCGTGTTTGTGTGGTTTGAGAGGACGTGGAGGGAGTAAGTTATGAGTGGACTGCTGTCAGAGCAGCACGACTCCCCCTGGGACGAAGAGAGGTTCTGCTCTCTCTCTGTCAGGTTACAACGAGATCCTCATTTAATGTGATGAATCCATTTTCAGTTGTTTTTGCTTCTCGTGCGTTGCTGTTTGCATGCTCACACTGAGCGGAATCATCAGCGGACCACAACGAGGGAATAACAGCCCGCCGCTGTTACTTTCTCCTCGTCTTAATGACGGGTTCATTAAAACGGTATCAAGCTCACTAACCGAGCACACATGGCAACGAAGCAGTTACGGCCTGTTAGACAGAGACCCGGCGGGAGATTTATGCCGAAACCAAAGCTGAACCCCGGGAACCCCGAGCAGCGGTCTCAGCGCTTAAGCTACTCGATCTCCTCCTGTCCGTCTCCGGTTCTGCCGGGGATCCAAAGCTTCGTTACTGGAGCATGTGAAAACTCACTGAAGCCACGCAGAGCAAATCAAGGGGAATCCAAAGTGACAGCCGGTGCAGCCGTGGGACAGTTGACCGATGCCAGAGCATTGAAACCCCGCCGCGACCTCTCGACCTTCGATGAGCACGGCGGCAAAATGTTTCAGGAAAAAAAAAGGAGCCCGACAAACGGGCCTCTCGCCGATGGGGGTTTACAGCTACTGCGCGCCGCTGCACGCAGGCTTTATGAGGCGGGGCGCTCTCGTAACCGCGTCGGGAGACATTAGCCGTGGGGCCCTAATGTGCCCACAAAGTGCGAGTGGCGTCGCCCCATCGACAGACTGCCCACAGGTCAACGGCGCCGATGGAGGCGAGCGTGTAGGAACAGTAATGGGAGGGTGATAAAACAAGGGGAAGAGAGGCAAAACAATTGTTAGTTTCAACGTGGGGGGGTTTTATCACCAAGTTGGTTCGTTCATTTATTCTTTAGTGTCATGTCGCGTTAGAGG